GGTGGATTATGGCGTTGGATGCTATAGTATGGAACCAAGGGTATTTCAAGTGGAAGATCAAGTGATCGATAAAGCAATATAGCATGATTTTGATTCTTGAGTGATCTAAGAATTGGAGTAAGTTACTAATTAGATTTATTGTTGAAATGGTAATTCGGAGCTTAATGATTATAGTATGATGTGTGTTGTGATCATACTTGCACATTGTGATAGGTAGTATTAGTGAGAAACTAGTGTGGACCTTGTGTTGTGAACACTTGGATTGATTGCATGAGCTTGAAGCAAGTTTTGCATTGGAAGCTACTTGAGGTAAGCTTTCGGACTTTGAGATTTGTCACTTAATTTTTCCACCAAGACCGTGTAGGTTTTGGTTTATGTGGTTTATGAAATGAATTGGATACAATGCATTTTATGTAATGCTTTGTGTGTTTTCATACAAGATGATAACCCTTTAGTATGGATGTGATTCTATACAAGATAGTAACTCATGAGTGTGGGGTATAAGGTGATTCCTTATACTTTTGGTGGGTTGATTGATTGTGTAATTCTTGCGGTACGTTGCATGGTTGCATAATGCATACATTGTTCTCTGGTCAGCATGATTATTTGTCTAGAGCATCATGTCGATGGTGCGAGGCACTAGGAGGGATATTATACTTCTATTTGCACACTTTGCATGCATTCATATATTCTACGTTATGTCATTTATTGTTGTTGTATGCCTGAAGTGAACTTTGGGATAAAGGAATCTTCCAAGGACCCCTAGTTTACTGATGTGTTATCTTACCCTGCGTTTTGGGGACCCTTTTCAGGTACTGATGGTGCTGGAACATCTATTAGGAGGAGGCCACAATAGATAGCTTGATGATAGCAGGTTTTGATGTGTTTTGGAGCATCATGTATATATATGTTTAGAGGAACATGTATAGGGTTTATGTCATAATAACATTTGAATGTCATGATGCATTGATGTAATGATGTAAATGTTTATGCTGATAAACAATGTTGATATATGAATTGTAAAATGGATAGCCTATGCAAGGGATTGCTATGTGAGCCAATGAGGAATGATAAATTGATGTATGAAATATCACACATTGTCAAATAAGTTCAAGATGAGCTTGGAAAATTATCCCATCATGCTTAAATACGGTCAAGTACTGTCAATTTTAATGCTGTCAAGTATGATCAAATTGGAACGTTCCTAACTCCTTCGTTCCTTAACGGAATGAGGCATGTTGTATGTCATTTTAAAGCCGTAGGAGTTTAGCTTATTGTCTCCAAGTTTGAGAATTTTCTGGGCAGTGAAACACTCTCGATTTGAGTAGGAACCAGAGCTGCCAGGAAGCTAAAATATCAAGATTGAAGAGTTGTTCCGCTAGCAGAGGACGAGAACACCTCATCTTCAGGGAACGAGAATGTCTTCTATTCTGGGATGGGAATGTCCCAAGTATCAGGAACGAACAATGTATGGGGGAACGACCCATATATATATATATATATATATATATATATATATATATATATATATATATATATATATATTGGAACGACACACAGGAACGTCAGTAGAGAACGTCACATGTTCCCAGTTTACGCTTGGCGCAGTAAAATGCGCATAACTTGAGCTATAAGGCTCCAAATCGAGTGAGGTTTGAACTTATGTGCAGCTAACACATGGAGCTACAAACCTGTAAAGAAGTAGGATAATCAGGTATCTGGATCATTCCCAATTTAGTTTTAAAGTCGCTGCCATGTTTGTCAGAAGTTTGAAGCAGTTGGCTTCTGACGGACGTATCTTGAGTTATACAGATCCAACCGTGGCTTATGATATGCCGTCAGAAAGCTCAAGACTTATAATTTAACATAGTAAAATATGATAATTTTTGGTGACAAATGATAGTCCCAATTTTGGGAGATGTAAAGGTTGTTGGTAAAAGTACAAAAGTGTCTTATACCATGTTAGTCTATGGGGCCTACTTGGTGAATGACTCAGAGTATGTTTTACACCATTAGGCTTATGGTATTGCCTAATAAGGGAATGTAAACTAAATTGAAAGAAGCTTACGAATTATGTTTAAGTTATAATTACTGTAATTGAATTAATTTAATATGAATTTTAATCATTTGTAGTAAATAGAAAGGAAAAAGTTTATCCGTTACTCTAATCAATTACTGTGATTGTAACTGCGTTTAATATCATATTTGATGATAACAAATTGGTCCGGTAACAAGGTGTTACAATACTTGGGTATATGTTAAAAAAAAAAACCCAAAATACTGAAATATCTAGGTCCATATTCAGGTATACAGGGACAGTGAAGTGAAATATTTTTGATACAGAAGCAAAGAGATAAATTTATGGCGGTGGTCAAAAACCCATTTCTAGCTCTTTCATTACTCTCTTTGCAATTATATTTTTGTATTTTTGTCTTTTTTTTAATTTATTTTTCTTTTTCTTTTTAAAAATAATTTGTAAAAATTGTTTCTTTTGCATGTAAGAGTGATTGTTGATTGTAAGGAAAAGCGAAAATGTATAAATGTTTTTCATAATATCTTTGAGGGCTTTTTAATTGTTTTATGGTGTTTGTGTTTATTGTGATTATTAAATTGACTGATCATGCTGTATACTAGCAATTTTTCCCAATTCGCAATTTGAGATGACGTGTTTATTGAAATTTCTTGACTCATTATTTCGTGCAGCTTGAAGCAACCGATAATTTAGCCTATATTGATACGTTTTGGTTATGAACACGTGGAACATCGAATGATTACAAGAATAGGCCTAAATAGATAAGCCTAATTTATATAACAGATTAGTAAAATAATTTTTGATAGTATTAAATATAATTTCATGAAAAAATTATTTATTATTTTAAAGGATACAACTTTGTGTCATTTTAAATGATAAATATTTTTCATGAAAAATATTATAAGCAAATTACGTGCAAAAAGTATAAATAATGTAAATTTTAAAGTTAATTACTTAAGTAATACATTTTTTAAATTATTTTCCAAAATAATACAATCAATGACGTATGGAAAAGATATGCAATTTGTTGTGTAAAGAGGGTGTGCAGAATTGTTTCATGGCATTACCAGGAGAATTGGGCACAATCCTCATAATCACTGGCGCACCCAGCCATGGGCAAATGTCCGCAAGTGTCCACATAAAATTTTGGATTTTTTTTTTTTTTTTTTTATAGCTTTGTAGGTATTTATTTATATGTTGATTCAATATTTATATTAGGAGTAAATATCATTTTAAGTTTCTAATAAAAAACATGGTCCCCACTTTAGTCTCTTATCAAAAATTAGTCTCGAGGTCCCTACGAAATTCAAAGTGAATCAATTTAGTTAAAATCGTGGTTCCTCACTAATTCAAAAAAGACCTACATTAGTTACTCAAAAAGACTAAAATGAGTTCACTTTAAATTTCATAAGGACTAGGTAACTATTTTTTTTTATAATAGACTAAAGTGAGTACCAAATTTTTTGTTGGAGACCAAAAATGATATTTATTCTTATATTAGTTAGCAACGTACGGAGATGATTAAAATAACGTAGCAACGCTCTCTTCCTCCCCTACCATGTACCCATTCTCATGCTCTCTTCATCTCCTTTGTTTCCTTTCTAGACAAGGCCTTCAGTGTGATTTTGCTTGTCTTCTGTACAAATAGTGTTGACTTTTTTATTCACCACTATAAAATAGAATAGAATGATGATGTATGGATGTACTTAAGTATATTTTCATATTTGTTTTGGAGGATTGGTAAGATTTAAGAGAAAAAATGATGGGTCAAAATATTGCCTGCAGCTTGTTATGGAAGCAACTAGATTATGAGCGAGTTTAAGCGTTAACTTAAACTTTTTTTACAAAAAAAATTTGGGAGCACCCGCCACTAAATGTGCGGACATAAACAAATTTTTCTGGATTCGCCACTGCTCATAATGAACTCTCGGTCGGAATTGTGCCATGCGGTATGATCTTTAAATTTTATTACCATGATCATTTTTATATCCTTAATCAACATAGATATTAATCAATGTCCTAAATACTTGGGTAGTCAAATCATAACTAATCAGCCATGATTTTTTAAATCCTTGCAAATAAAACATTAATTTTATTACCAACAATTACAATTTGATAATTATATTTTTCATTTTTAACAAAAAAAAAAATATTAGCTGAATGATAATTTGTATTATTTAAAAAAAAAACATTAATCAAATCATGATTGATGATAATAAATTGGGAAAAGTTCACCGATGCCCCTGTGGTTTACTCTAGAATCACTTATGCCCCTGTGATTTTTTTTTTTATCACATATGCCCCTGTGATTTCTTATTTTTTACAAAGCACAGGGGTATATGTGATAGGAAAAAAACCACAAGGGCATGAATGATTTTGAAGCAAACCACAAGAGTATTGATGAACTTTTCCCTAATAAATTTGTTACCCTCAATCATGATCTAATATATTTTTTTTCATTTTTGCTAAAATAATTTAAATGATATGGTCACGTTAGTTGTGCATACGATATGTACAACTCACTTTTCACTCTACACGCAATTAGTTGTGCACCCCTTCAATATAATATAAGTAGGATTATATTGATATTTTTTTTTTTTTACAAATTTATAAACTATACTATGTGACCGGTAACACTCTACTTAAGAGTGTCTTACCGGTCAGACATAGTGTAATTTATAATAGTTTGTAAATAAAAAAGTTTATAAATATAACCTTATCCATGTAATATATAATTTTTTAGTTAATAATAATAAATTAATAATTGTATACAAAGCTATTTACCAAAAAAAAAAAAGAGAAGGGATGAAAAGAAATGGATTGGACCTATAAATCATTACACACACATACAAAAAAGAAAAGAAAAAAGAAACTGTTGTTTAAAAGGCAGAAAACAAGAGGGAACATTTGGCGCCATTTCCCACTGTTCTAAATATCCTTCTCTTCAACCTCGCCTCACGCCTTCACCGAACCCTAGTTGCACTTACCCTGAGTCATTTCTTCATCAATGGCTGCAACTCCTACCAACTCTTTTCAAACTCCCTCAAAACCTAAGTTGCGATCGCAATCCAATGCTAAATCCTCACCAGCTATAGCCTCCTCCGTTACCCCACAACCCCTACCTCCTCGCAGATCCACGCGCCCAAAGTCCCTTCCATTCGATTCTCCCAAAAATTCTCATGGCGTCAATGCATCTTTTGAAAATTCACGAGCAACTCCGAAAAGAGGGAAAGCCAGGGAGAATCTCGATCCGGCTAGGTCGAGGACTCGTCGATCCATCGACTACGTTGATGATTCTGGTAAGGACAAAGTTATAACCCGTACTAGTGCAGCTAGAGGAAGTGGTTCGGTTGATATAGGTGGATCTGGCACGAAGGGTGAAGCATTGAAGAAGAGAAATGGGAAGGGTGCAGTTGAAGTCTCCTTCGCTCCAGTGTCCCCTGATAAAAAGGAAGCTAAGAAGAGGAATAGGGAGGGTGAAAGAACGGTTGTTACTAGAGCTTTGACTGCGAAAAAAGGGAAATCAGAGAACCTGAAAAAGAGTTCAAGGTCGCCCAAGAGCCGTGTGTATTTTAAAAGAGTTGTTTATGATGGGGGCGAGTTTGAAGTGGGGGATGATGTTTATGTGAAAAGGAGAGAAGATTCAACCTCGGATGACGAATATCATGAAGTGGAGGAGTGTAGATTGTGTTTTTGTTCAAGCAACGAGGTCATGATTGAGTGTGATGCTTGTTTAGGTGGGTTTCATTTGAAATGCTTGACGCCACCATTAAAGGACGTTCCTGAAGGGGATTGGATATGTGGGTTCTGTGAGGCTCGTAAGATGGGTAAGGAGGTTAAATTTCCAAAGGCTCCAGAGGGTAAGAAACTAGTTAGGACAATGAGGCAGAAGCTTCTTTCAAGTGATTTGTGGGCTGCTCATATTGAGAGGTATGGTATATCTTTTATTGCCCAATGGCATAAACTTTCTAAACTGCTTGCTAAATACTAATTATATTGAGGTCAGAGGGGTTTTGCTTTCTCTAATCATTGGTTTAATTTGAGCAGTATATGGAAAGAAGTAGATGGCAATTATTGGTGTCGGGTACGGTGGTATACAATTCCCGAAGAGACTGCTGCTGGGCGACAACCGCATAACCTGAGCAGGGAGCTCTATCGAACTAATGATTTTGCAGACATCGAGGTTCTGGATGACAACATATTTGATTATTACACATTGATAATAAAGTGCTAGCATGAGTGAAAGTTTTCTAGTTGATCATCCTGTCTACCAAGCTTAATAAGTTGAACTTAGCATGTTTTAATGGTAATCCTTGAAATGTTTTGGTACATTTAGATGGGTTGAGTTTTTTTCCATACTCAACTCAAGTCTAGTTCTTATTCTGGAAAAGTAAACTCAAGCCATCTAGATGTACCAAAATATAACAGAACCGGACTTGAATTTAGTAGATAATAGCTGTCAATTATCTTTTGGTTGATTGCTTATTGTGAAAAACTGAGTAGATTCTTGATTAGTTTAGGATATCTACAATCTTGTATCTGCAAATAGGTCAATTTTTATTTGCGTTCAAGAATCTTATCTAACTTTTATATACTTGGGTTGTTTAACTTGTTTCTGATCATAAGAAATGGAAGTTCTATTTTCTTCCTAAGCCATTAAGTTAGAATATGATGTGCAATTCCTCAACCATTTTAATTTAAGTAATCAGAAAAAAAAAGTCGAACTATTAAGTTCCATGGTGTTCTGGGAAATATATTCATCATTTGTATTCACTATATTAGATACAAGAAAAAGGAGAATTACGTAGTTATAATAATGAAACAGCTTGTGCCGCTAACGCCAATATTATACAATGAAGTAGAGAACTATTGCCTAAAATGTAACATAACTACGAACTTTTTGTATTTCATGGCCATTTCTATAGCCTCAGGCTTAATGTTTAAGGTAGTGGGAACTTATCCTCCTTTAGTTCATCATGTTGTTCCTGTGTTCACTGCAGATGGAATCTGTCCTTAGACATTGCTATGTCATGATCCCCAAAGAATACGCTAAGGCTGGCAATGAGGGAGATGATGTTTTCTTGTGCGAATATGAGTATGACATCCATTGGCACAGTTTCAAACGTCTTGCTGATATTGACAATGAAAGAGAGGTAATCATGTCAGAAAGAAGATTAGAAAAAACATTTAATTCTTCTCATTGAAGGAGTTAACCATTTAGCAGTGCTAGTACTAATGATTTTGTTCTTACATGGTAGAATGGTGAAGAGACTGACAGTGACGAAGACTGGAATCTTTACAAGGAACCAGACTCTGATTCAGATGAAGAAGATGGTGAATATGAAGAGGAGAATTTTAAAAATGTGCAATCTCAGCCATCAACAGGCCATCAATTAGCCGCAGTATGGATATCATTGTTCACTTTGTATTTATTATTTTTTTAGTATTTATGATTTCCTACAAAAAATAAATATGTAAATGATACAGAATCTGCACAAGGGACGGTTCTTTGGACTTCAGAAGATAGGCACACAAAAAATTCCACAGCATGTAAGGTCTCACAAACAGACAGATCTCGAGAGAGCAAAAGCTACACTGTTGTTAGCATCGTTGCCTAAATCTTTACCTTGTAGAAATAAGTATGTTAAACTTTGAACACACATTTTTATTATTTTATATCTCAGAGATTATTAATCAACGCATGCTTTTATTTCAGAGAAGTGGAGGAGATAACTTCATTCATTAAAGGTGCTATTTGTGACAATCAATGTCTGGGGCGTTGCCTCTACATTCATGGTGTTCCGGGAACTGGCAAGGTACTATATTTTTATCTTCAAGAACTAACTATATTGTTTTTAGTCCAATTTAATGAGACTTTAGCTTAGCTATCGTGGAGCAAGTCTTGTTTTTTAGTCTTTTATCCATATGTAACTGCAGACAATGAGTGTACTAGCAGTAATGAGGAGTTTGAGGTCAGAAGTTGATGCGGGAAACATCAAACCCTACTGTTTTGTGGAGATAAATGGTCTAAAATTGGCATCAGCAGAGAATATTTATAGGGTAAAGTTAATGAATTATACACTGTTTTTGGTTTTATATGACCGCATTCCTTGATTATTATCTTATAGTTATATTCTTTCAGGTCATATATGAGGCATTAAATGGACACAGGGTCAGCTGGAAAAAGGCTCTCCACTTGTTAAATGAGAGATTTGTAGAAGGGAAGAAAACTGGAGAAGAGGCTGACCGGCCATGTATTTTGCTTATTGATGAACTTGATCTTCTTGTAACCAGAAACCAGTCGGTAACCTACAAATCTTGTTACTGAAACGTGTCATTAGGTCTACATTGTTTAACATGAATTACATTGCGATGAACGTTATTTTTTTACAGGTTCTGTATAATATTCTTGACTGGCCTACTAAGCCACATTCCAAACTAATTGTGATAGGTAAGATAAAGCTCATTTCAGTCTTTCCCCCCCTCAGTATTATGATCTTTCAGCTTGGCAGAGGTAATTTAAAATAGGGGGAAAACAAGGATCTTCTGTATAATGATTATAACAACTGTGATGCCTTTGTGGACTGCTAAGACTTATGCTTTAGTGATAATGTAATAAATTCAGGGATAGCAAATACTATGGATCTTCCAGAGAAGTTACTTCCTCGTATATCAAGCCGAATGGGAATACAGAGACTTTGCTTTGGCCCATATAATTATCAGCAGCTTCAAGAAATCATTTTGAGTCGTCTCAAGGGAATTGATGTATTTGAAAAGCAAGCCATAGAATTTGCTTCAAGAAAGGCTAGTCTAGCTGTCATTATGAATGTTGATTTCCTCTAAACTTTGACTTTTATACACGATGGACATGTGTTTTGGTACAATATCTCATTGATTTACATCCAAAATGTTCTTTGATTTAATTATTCAGGTTGCAGCGATCTCGGGAGATGCTCGACGCGCTTTGGAGATATGCAGACGTGCAGCTGAAATAGCAGATTATCGTATGAAGAAGCTAATTTCGAATCCTGATTTTGTCACTGCAGGTATATGAACATGCACAGTAGTTTACATATCATCACAGTAGAGAGGGAGGATCATGAAATGTTCGTTACTGTATATGTTATTTCTGGGCATTGTCTGGGGTGTTAAAGAATGTCTCTTTTCTTTGTCAATTGTCTTTTTAACAATGTATTTGCAAATTTAAATTATCAAAGGTTTAAGATGTACGAGAATGCTTGCTTTTTGGTTTGGTCCAGGCAGATCCTTCTTCATCTTCATTCTTTAATCACACTGGTAATTGATGATATACGAGAGAAATAGCATATGACCTTCAGATGCATTGCTTGCTTGGTAGTTGGATGGTTGCTGTTTTATCTTACTGTACACACTGGCAATAAAGTAACTATCACTCCATCTTGTATTATAGGGATACCAAATTAAAACAAAATTCTGTGGGCTCTGCTTAGAAACTGCATGTGCACTGGTACTTGATGTCATATTACCATGAAATTGTAAAAGCCATTCAAACCGGAGTTTTTCTTCTTCCAGACTTGTTATTCTGTAGTTGCCGTTGTGTGCACTGTGCAGGCTTGATATTGATCTACAATTCTAACATTGTTTCATCTTCGGTCTCCTATAATAGAATATTTGGATTACATGTTATTTACTCTAATTATGATCAGCATCACTTGTATGCATGATTTCCTTGCTTCTGAGGTAGTGTTACTGTCCACTAATTCACTTGCATTTGCTCGATAGGAAAGGGACTTGTTGGTATGGCAGATGTTGAAGCAGCCATTCAAGAAATGTTTCAAGCACCTCATATTCAAGTGAGTTAAAATTTGCTGTGCTAATTTATTTCTTGACGCTTTATGTTCCAATTTTTTTTTCCCTGAATGGTAGATGATGCATTAGAATGTTAATCAATTCATGAGACGTATAGGCTAGTAGTGACTAAATCACTTTCAATACAAATTTTGATGATGTAACTAGATATGTACTTTAGTAAATAGCAAACATGAGCCATTTCTTTAATTGAGGATTATAAACATGAACGAAGACTTTATTCTGTTTTATAGGACTTCGGCTTTCAGTTTTAGGGCAAACCCCAATTCACAAGCAAGGCTCGAAATGTGGCTTTGCGTTATCAAGAAATAATATGAATGCAGTTTTAGTTCATCAAACAAGACTGCTATTTTATGGGACCAATGATCATAGGGCGTGGTAAATAAATAAAATAGGAAATCAATGTTATCCTGTCCTTTAACATTTTCTCGCACAGTCCATGAAATTAATTGGTCGGTACAGTCATAAGCACCCTTTTTGTTTTCATTTACCTGACAGAATGATGCTAGCATTTTATTTCCGTCTTACATTGTATACAACATGCTTTGTCTTGAAAGGTGATGAAAAGCTGTTCCAGACTTAGCAAAATCTTCCTGACAGCTATGGTGCACGAGCTTTATAAAACAGGAATGGGGGAAACCACTTTTGAAAAGGTTAATTCTGAAGTTTCTTATTTATTCTCGTTTTTTGTATTCAAGTCATACTGTTGGAGATTATATGTAACAGTATATTGTTTGAATTCTTTGTAACGTATATTGTTTGAATTCTTTGTAACGGCAGGTTTGAATTCTTTGTAACGTATATTGTTTGAATTCAATTCTTTGTAACCGTAGGTTTGAATTCTTTGTAACGTATATTGTTTGAATTCTTTGTAACCGTAGGACTGTTTAGATAGAGTATTTATTTGTTTTAGTCTGTTACGTTGTTACTATTTATTGTATGTTCGCCTATTTAAAGGCTACCAATGAATGAGATAAACACACAGTTGAAATATCAAGTTTATCTTGGTATCAGAGCAATCCTAGTATACACGTTTCTGCATTCCCTTTCAGTGCGGAAGCTGGTTCATTTAACATGGCACCAGGTGGTGGCAGCAAGTCCAAAACAACTGATCCTAGTTCGCCATTTTACTTGGCTGGATCCGACGGTCCAGGTCTCTTGTTAACGACTGTCATGCTGCGTGGTGAGGCCAACAATGACAACTGGGCCAAGCTCATGAAAAACGCATTGAAGGCGAAAAACAAATTGGGTTTTGTGACCGGTTCAGTCAAGAAACCAGGAGAGGATGATGCCGAAGAGTGGCGCGCCTGGGAGATGTGCAATTCGATGCTCAATGGTTGGATTCACAACACCATTGATGCAAAACTTCAACCATTCATCAAGTGCTTTGATGACGTCAAGGACTTATGGAATGATCTAGAGGAAATGTATGCAGTGCAAAACTTTCCAAGTATCAACTGAAATCCAGTTTAGCCAATATCAAGCAACATGGAGATAGCGTTGGTGATTATTACACCAAACTCAGGGCTGTATGGGACGATCTGGAAGGCAGCAAAACTCGCAAGTCTTGCGATTGTGGTGATAAGTGTGCCATTGCCAAAGCAATCGAGGAGGAGCAAGAGCATGATCGCGTTTATCAATTTTTGATGGGGCTGGATGAATCTACATTTGGCAATCTGAGATCCCATATCCTCAACACTTCTCCTCTTCCTAGTGTCAACAAAGTGTACGCAATTGTCACTCAAGAGGAGACCCATCGTAGTATTTCTCGCGTTCAAGATGAGAGGAGTCAGGTAGTGGGATACTCAGCCCAAACCGATTCCATGAAGCAGTCAGACACGTCCATGCAGCAACGGATGGTTCCTAACAAACCATAAGACATAATACCTTGCCCTCATTGTGGCAGGACCAATCACGACCCTTCCAAATGCTGGAACGTTCATGGTTTTCCACCAAACAGGAGTGCTGGTCGCGGACGAGGAAGGGGAGGACGTTCGGCAGGACGTTATACGCATGCTCATGCGACGTTTGCAATGGATGCCTCACACCCAGTTGCTGCTAACTCTCTTCCTCCAGACGTCTCCCATTCTGCCTCTTCTCAAGTTGCTGCACACTCCGTTTTGACCCCAGAAATTGTGAACAAACTGTTAACATTGGTAGACCAGCCTCAGTCACATGAAAAATTATCTGGTAAGCGTATTCATTCTCAATGGCTCATTGATAGTGGGGCCTCACGTCATATGACAGGCACTTTGGCTTTATTAGCTGACATTACACCTATTCCCCCTCTATCTGTGACTCTACCAAATGGTTCTATTACTTATGCTGCAAAACAAGGCTCGATGGTGTTTAATACAAACTTCAGCTTGTCAAATGTTTTATATGTGCCTAACTTACGCTGCAATCTCATCTCTGTTTCCCAATTGCTTCACTCCAAGAGCAGTAGCGTTACATTTACTGATAAAAAGTGCATTTTGCAGGACCAAGTGCTGAAGAGGGAGATTGGTTTGGGTGAACTTCATGAAGGAGTCTATGTGTTTCAGCCTTCATGTGCTTCAGCTTCGGCAGTTCAAGCAGGAGAGTCAATTGACTTGTGGCACAACAGGCTAGGCCATGCATCCTATGATATCTTATCTCTGGTTCCAGAATTTAAAGCTTTGCAAAATAAAGTAGTATGTAAGGCATGTGAAGTTTGTCATCGTGCCAAGCAAACTAGATCAATGTTTCCTATAAGTTTTTCTCGCAGCAAAGAATGTTTTGATTTAATCCATTGTGACACTTGGGGTCCTTATCAAAATTCTTCTTCTTCTGGTGCACGTTATTTCTTAACTGTGGTGGATGACTATAGTAGGCATGTATGGGTTTTTATGTTGGCCGATAAAAGTGAAACTTATGATCGGATGTGCAAATTTCTTGCTATGGTTCTGAACCAATTTGGTAAAACCGTAAAAATAATAAGGTCTGATAATGGTACTGAGTTCAAATCTAATAACATGGTGAAACTCTTGAATGAAAAAGGTATTTTGCAACAAACAACTTGTGTTTATACGCCTGAACAGAATGGGAGAGTCGAAAGGAGGCATAGACACATCCTTAATGTATCACGTGCCTTACTGTTTCATGCAAATCTCCCTGTTGATTTTTGGGAGGAGAGTATTCTTGCTGCTGTTCATATAATTAATAAAACACCTACAAGAGTTCTCCAAGGCAGGTCACCACATGAAGAATTGCATGGAGTTAAACCAGATTATACATACTTGCGCACGTTCGGTTGTCTGTCATTTGCTAATACAAGACCGAAACCAACTGACAAGTTTGCTCCACGTTCGCGACGATGTGTTTTCATCGGATATGCAATAGGGCAGAAAGGTTGGAGATTGTTTGATATAGAAGCGCAACAAAGCTTTGTGTCCAGGGATGTAAAATTTTTTGAAAATATTTTTCCTTTTCGCGAAGCTCCAGTACAATCTGTTTCTGCACCAAATTCTCGTGTGCCTACAGAGCCAAATTACTTTGACGAAGGCCAAATTGTCCATGACGGTTCTGATGCATCAAATGACAGCCCAACGCCTAGTGGATCATGTGTTCCTCTGGACGATAGGGGGAGTGTTTCGCTGGAAGCAACACCAACTAACGAAGTTGCCGCTAGGGAGTCCTCCTTACTAGAAAGAAGTTCGAGTTCTCTAGTGATGCATCAACCCAACAGCAGTTGCTGGAAGCAAATCTGCGTCAAACAGTCACACGCCAGCACCGTAACAGGAAGCAGCCATCTTATTTGCAGGACTATGCATGTCAAGTAGCTGAAACACACACTCCTTCATCTCTCCCTACTCAAACCAATGTCACCTCAGGTACTCGGTATCCTATGTGCAATTATCTTAGCCTCACTAACTTTTCTAAGCAACATCAAGATTTTGTTGCAGCTATTGACACAGGTCATGAACCACGTACATTTCAAGATGCTATGAGAGACTCCCGATGGGTGGAAGCCATGAGGGCTGAAATCACAGCCTTAGAAGACAACCATACATGGTGCCTCACGGATTTACCTCCAGGGAAGCGTGCTCTTCCAAGCAAGTGGGTGTTTAAAATAAAATATCGTTCTGATGGAACGGTGGAACGGTATAAGGCAAGATTGGTGATTGCAGGTAATTATCAGATTGCCGGAGAAGATTACAGTGAGACTTATGCACCAGTGGCAAAGATGGTGAGTGTACGTACATTGCTTGCAGTGGCTGCAGCAAGAAACTGGGAGTTGCACCAGCTTGATGTTCATAACGCATTCTTGAATGGAGAAATAAGTGAGGAAGTTTACATGAGATTCCCCCTGGATTCAGTACTGGGTCTAAGCATAAAGTATGTCGTCTTACAAAGTCATTGTATGGTTTGCGCCAATCACCCCGAAACTGGTTTTCCAAACTCAGCAGTTCGTTGACGGCATATGGATTTGTTCAGTCAAAAGCTGATTACACGCTCTTTACTATGCAAAAAGGGGAGGTGTCTCTTGCACTTTTAGTTTATGTCGACGACATCATCTTAGCAGGTAATAATTCACATGCTTGTCTTGCAGTCAAGGAGTATCTGAATCAGTGTTTTAAAATAAAAGACCTGGGTAGTCTGAAATATTTTTTGGGTATTGAAATTGCCCGCAGCAAGAAAGGAATATTTTTATGTCAGCGTAAGTATGCCCTGGATATTCTTTCTGATTCCAGGCTCAGTGGATGTAAACCGACGATTTCCCCCATAGAACAGAATCATCGTCTTGCCTTGGATGACGGACCAGTATATGAGAACCCTGAACGGTATAGAAGACTCATTGGTAAGTTGATTTACCTCACTATCACAAGACCCGACCTGAGCTATGTTGTTCATATCCTTTCTCAATTCATGCATTCACCGCGCCTAGCTCATTATGAGGCTGTTCTCCGGGTTATTCGATATGTAAAGAGAGATCCTGGTCAAGGACTTCTCCTCAAATCGGATTGTGACCTAAAAATTCATGCCTATTGTGATTCGGATTGGGCTTCATGTCCTCTTACCAGACGATCTCTCACTGGTTTCTTTATTATGTTGGGTTCTTCACCCGTATCCTGGAAGACCAAGAAACAAGTAACGGTGTCTCGCTCTTCTGCAGAAGCAGAGTATAGATCAATGGCTGCAGCTAAAACAGAGATTGTGTGGCTCAAGTCGTTTCTCACCTCTCTTGGGGTCACTCACTCAAGTCCTATGGAATTGTTTTGTGATAACCAAGCTGCTTTACACATTGCAGCGAATCCGGTGTTTCACGAGCGTACCAAGCATATTGAGTTAGATTGCCACTTTGTACGTGAACATATTCTAGCCAAGCATATTACAACAGCTCATGTGCCTTCTCGTTCCAAACTTGCTGATTTGTTTACTAAAGCCTTGGGACAACGCGAGCTTCTTAGTTTTCTTCCTAAGTTGGGCATTTCATCCTTACATACTCCAACTTGAGGGGGAGTGTAGATTATATGTAACAGTATATTGTTTGAATTCTTTGTAACGTATATTGTTTGAATTCTTTGTAACGGTAGGTTTGAATTCTTTGTAACGTATATTGTTTGAATTCAATTCTTTGTAACCGTAGGTTTGAATTCTTTGTAACGTATATTGTTTATTTATTTGTTTTAGTGTGTTACGTTGTTACCATTTATTGTATGTTCGCCTATTTAAAGGCTACCAATGAATGAGATAAACACAGTTGAAATATCAAGTTTATCTCATACATAGATTTCTTCACTTTCAAACCTCAGCCCTCAGCGTTTTAGTCGGACAGCATTGGATGAATTTTTTTTTATACCTGCATATTTGACTCAAAATCTGCGGGAAAACTTAAGAGGTTAAAATTTCTACCAGAATGGCGTTAATTAGTATTAATTGATCTCCGTATTGGTTTACCAATATATCCTTTCACATATGCTGTGCCTTGCCAAAATTTGCAGCCCCCTCCCCATATATACATGCACACACACATATACATACATACGTTTATATGGGAATTGAAGGCGTAAAAGTTAATTTGTATTGGCGTTCTTATGTAAGGTTTTATTTGACAATGCAGTTGGCAATGGCGGTTTCGTGTCTCTGTACCAGCAACGGAGAAGTGTTTCCTGGATATGATACTCTCCTGCAAGTTGGGTAAGACTACTGATATTTTCTTCTCTACATGCACTGGAGATGATGTTCTGTAGAAGGGGAAAACGGGAGAAACTGTCTTGCTTTCTACTCGAATAGCATTAATGTAGAAACACAATAAAGGCTAAATGTATGTGATCCATGCTAATTCCATATCTATTGTATCTGAGATGTCTTTATACCAATTTTTTGGCAGCTGTAAGCTAGGCGAATGCAGGGTTATTTTATGTGAAGCTGGTTCCAAGCACAGGTTGCAAAAATTACAGCTCAATTTCCCGAGGTCAGTTCTCAAAGCCTTTATCAGCTTTTCAGCGACTATAGAAACAACTGATGGGGTTATGGGGTAGTGTCTTTTTAAGTCCAGTAAACCAAACTAGTCAGCATTATCCTGCAGTTTTCATCTAAATTCGATTTTGCGTTCCTTTCCACGTGAGCCACGTACATGCATCTTCAATGTCGGAGAAATAAGTATTTTAAAGTTTCGATGATTTTATTTTTGAACTAGTAGACAAGTTTTCAAGTTATTTTCAACTCATTAATTCTCAGTACTTTTTTAAAAAAAGTTATTAAGTTGGTCCTTCCGGTCTTAAGTCCTCGATTTATTAGAAGCATGTATGGTATAGCAAAGTTAAACATTTAATAAATCAACAAAAGATTAGAACTAAAAGTAACAAAATTATGTTTTAAGAAGGAATTATGGTAGACTTGAGAGTAGTTTAAGTATATTTTTTGAATCAATTAAAAATATGGCAGTTTGACCTATAAGTATGTATGGAAACAATCCGTGCCTTTTAAAAGATTGACAGCTCTTATGGGTAGTAATGGTTCGAGAAGTTAACGTAGTTTAGTGAGTATGTAAATAGATAAATAGGAAGCAACTAGGATTGGTATGGTGAGGGATTTGAGTAGGTTGTATTATGTTATGTATTCAATTCTCATTTTGTATAAAAAAAATAGATAAATAGACTCTAAAGTGAGGCGCAATCGAAATAAAAGTGGAGTTTTATTTACTAGAGTACAAATCAAGAAACATCTAGTATCATCGAACACTAAGCTAGCTGACGAAAAAGGAACACGTTTTTTCCTCACTGGGTAATAAAACTCTCATTAAACCGGTCACAAAATGTCCAAAGAAGTTATGTTACAGATGTGATCAGGAGCTTCTTCAGTCTGGGGGAAAAGTTTGGGAATGAGAATGCAATCCTAGCTAATTCATGAGCCACCTTATTTACATCTGACCATCTCTTCTAACTTTCATAAAAGAGCAAGATCTGAAAGTAGTAATGGAAAGGGAAATCCAATCCTCAATACGTAGACTATATAATAGATGTTCCAATATAAAATTTATGACTGTACACTATCACCTTCAAGGTCCATGTTAGCACTCTCAAAGAGACAAGGAAAGTAGGCGAGAAAGAAATAAGATCACAAGAGAAGCGAATTGGGCTTCTTTTGACTCTGTTTGGGCCCAGATGGGCCAGGCTGGCCCAGCCTAGTCTACAGTCCGGCCTACATTAAGCCTGACTTGGCCCGGCCTTTCAGAAAAATAGAGTAGACTTTGACTTTTAAGAAAGTTTTTTTAACAAATAGGCCGTAGGCTAATTTTGTCAAGCCTGACCCAAAGCCTTGTAGGCTGACCTATTTAATTTATTAAAAATGAAATAATAAAATAATATTTATTTTATGTGGCATGGCAAAGTACCAATACCAATTCTAATTTTTAGATGAATGATATTCTCTTGTAGACTTTATTTCAGCACCTAATAATTGTATTTTTCTTATTTTTCCCATTTCTTTGACTCTATTCCTCTATGATATACATTCTAAAGCTGGGGTATTATGTTGATTCTTTCTTGTTTGTTATTTTTTTCTTATGAGAAGTACTAGTGCATTCATAAATGAAACTTTCTTTGCTCTATACAATTATTTTCTTTGCTTAGTATTTACAGTGTAGGCCTACAAGGTCTGTAGGCCATGTCGGGCTTTCTTATTTTTAAAAATAGGCCGGGCTTGGCCTACAATTAAAGCCTTTGATAGGCCAGATAAACTGAATTTTTTTTTAGTAGGCTTGGGCCAAGAAGGCCAAAGCCAAGCCCAGCCCATTTACACCCCTAGTTGTGGCCCTTGATGGTTTGGGTGTTGGGTTGTGGGCCGGATCAAGGGGATTCCTAACAGTCCATTTATCTGAAGCACACTTCTGGGGCAAGAATGAATGTATTTACACGTGAAGCGTGGCGAATAATTTTTCTGTTACTACAATTACGAAATTGACTTGATTCCATTAATTTGACTGGTTTCTTCTAATTTTTGGCAGCGATGATGTTTCCTTTGCGCTGAGAGACGGCAAAGATGTACCGTGGTTGTCGAAGTATTTAATGTAGCAATAAATATTATATTCTGTTTATGTACCCAAAAAAAATTGCATTATGTTCTTAAAGAACAATTTTTACCATAACTTTTCGTTCAATTCTTTTATGACTTGCATAATTGTATTCATTCCTTGTACTTCAAAGTAATTTAATCATTAAATTGTAGAATTTTTTAAAAGGTTTTTTTACCCGTTCATTGATTACTCCATTGATTATTAATCTGATCGAGTTGTCAGAATCACAAAAGTGAGAAAAAAATTCCTGCTAAATTTCAAATATATCTGTATATTCAGAATTTAAACACGAAAGCATTGGTTAAATTGGAACAACCTTCCACCTGCTTGTGGTTCGATGTTACATCTTCTGTTCAATAAAAAAAATGAGGCTTTATTGTACCAAAAAGAGAGGCTTTTTCTGTTTTTTGGAAACAAGGGTTAAGCCTGAATCACAAGGGGGGATACAGGAAATTGCTATAACCCAAATTATAAACTGCGCTTGGCAAGGCAGACAGTTACCCTATTGCTTTCTTTATAAATCAATTTGATCTTCATCAGTCACCGCACGCTATACACTGACGAGCCCAAAGATATTGATTATTGTCCACCAAGTTGATTGGAAGATGAAGCTTGACATAGCCCTCTCTAAAACCGTATATTTACCGTACTAACTGAATATGCTCAAATTTATTTATTGTCATAATCTCTACTTCTGTTTATTTTGTTTTTGTTTTTCCTTCAGTTAGGGGAGAGGGATGTAGGTGCCATAGGGAATCTGAATATCAACATTCTGCTGAGACAAGCTTCATACTTGTTACCAGGCCCAACGTTTCCGCGAGAAGGGTTTTTGGCCCAGCACCCATGATCCAGTTGCGTCACGCAAGACTCCATCGAAAGCAGTAGAAAGTTGAAACCATCTGCATTCGGTTTCAAACAGTTCTGGGCGGAGAAACTACATAAAAAACAACCTCTTTTGTTGTTGTCAAATGCTGATTCTCTCAGAAGATGAGAGTTTTAAAATCGGCATACACGAGTAAGTCGTTATCCATTGCAACCTGCAGCTTAGCATTGCATGGTTAACAGTAACTTTTTAAACCTATTATATGTAATAATGATAAGTTTTATGTTCAATTTTGATTTCTAAATTATGTTAAGAAGTTTGAGGTCTCTGCGCAATGCACGGACATATATATAAATTGGCATGAAGTCATAAAATCCCCAGATGAACGTAGAGGTTTTATATTTTGATGTTTGCTTTTTACTAAAATATCATTAGTAACAAGCTAATTGATCGCGGTATTGGTTTATCAATATTCCTTCACCGATGCTAAGCCATACTAAAATTTGCATAAATTCGTTTTTATTTCAAATGTATTTATGGGAATTGAAGGCGAAAGTTTAGTTTGTATTCGCCATTTGTTCTTGGTTGGGGAGGGAAACATTGTAAAATGTAATTTGTACTTAAACGTCGTAACGAATTTATCTTTTTACAACATTTAAGAACTATGTGACTTGATTTCCTTAGTTTGACTGGTTTCATTCTACTTTGTGGCAGCGATGATGTAGCAGCAGCTACCTTGGTTTTCAAAATAAGAGTGAAAATTGCATTCTCTTCTTAAATTAGAACAATTTTGACAATACCTTTTCATTCAACTCTTTTATGACTTGGATAATTGACGCTTTTTCTGGAACTTCGAAATCATTCAAGCATCAGATAGTATATCTATAGATAAGACTTTTTAAAATTTGTCTTGGAATCTAGGGTTAAATACAAAACTACATAGGAATCTCAAGGGAAAATATCGGTTATAGTTCATCAATTTTTCCTCTAGAATGAACCATTCGCTTCAGAGGAATAAATTAGAGATTTTGAAGCGTACATCAAGACATCAACATACTGATTACGAAACCAGGGACAGGTGCAAACCAGGTCAGCTAATATGTTGCATTATAGACCAGTATGTTCTTCACCAGTCACCACATAGTGGCGAGGCGAAAGATGTTGAATATTGTCCACCATTCTGGCTGGATTATGACTCAAGACACAACCATTTAAAACCATATTTACAGTAGTACTAAATTTTCTTAAATTTGAGTTATTTTTTTGTTATAACCTGCCACGACTTCAAGAAGATGAAAAGATCAACATTCTGGATAAAGTTTAAGTCCGGTTGATTCTCCCCACAACTTTAAATTCAACTTCTCATAATCAAGGTTATACTTCGCAAACATTATTGATAACATTTTTCAAATGTTCAAAATCAAAAGACAACCAATGGGATCGATTTGATCAAAAACTACTGTCTACTGATATGCTAATTTCCATATCTTAACACCACCCAACCGTGTTGAAGGAAAAACCATTGGGATCGACTCAAATATGTTACAGCAATTTAAACCTAAGCCGACATAATTTATAGTTGCAGTTACAGAATATTTTGAAATATAATGCCCATAATTGATCGGGCAGTACAAATAGATCCTAAGCTTGCTGCAAGGATGCCGAATAGTTTTTGTGCCAGAGGGACCGCCCTAAAATGGCACTTCCGTGTACTGAGAGATATGCAGCATTTAACCTGGCAAAGTAAACAAGGATCTGTCAGAAATACACAAGAACCCAATATGCTCGTGTACATGTCTCTGTCTCCCAAATTTTAAAAAGGAAGGGGGGGAAATTACTTATCAACATCAGGCATTGCCAGGGGATCATACAACTCCTCCCTTTGTTCCATGGTAGGCATAGACATAGCTGACATGTCTTGAGCCCCTTCAACCTAAAAATAAACAATCCATGTGAATGAGTAGCCCAATAAAGTTATTATCTGCAATTGGAACCAATATGTAAACTAAATTTGAAATTAGATAACTTACCTGTTGGGGGTATTGTGCATAGCCAGCATATGCCCCATATGCATACAAAGAAGGATCTTGAGTAGCCCCATAAGCATAGGCTTCATAACCCTGTCCATACCCATAATAGGCACTCCATTGACTTGGATCCATCTGTCCCCAGCCACCAGGTAAGTCCTAGAACAATTTGGGCCCAAAATTTTGTTATTGCAAATATAATACTCCAACATGAGCTACTTACTGAGCTAATAAGAGATATTAAACTCATTCATATATAACATTGAATAATAGTAACATTTAGATAAAATCTATCAAAATGGAAGTCCGTAGTTGTCATAAGAGAGGTCCATATTACTAAGCTTAGATTCCAAATATCAGTGATTAACTACATAAACATTTCATGAAACACTATTTGATATTCTCCAAATAAATATTTTCCCAAGTAGGATCCATCATTACGGTCTTTCTTTGCCCTTTAATGACCATATGAGTACATATGACTCCTACAATATCATTTTTTATTTCATTCTTTTCTATTAGCCAATTTAAAAAACTCACAATGTCCCAATCGGGCATTCACACGGTACCTGTATCATCTTCACAATCTCAAGATTGTTCAATAGAGTCAAGACTCATCATCCAGACATCCCCCTCAACAGACAAACTTTTTTCTACAGCAAAGCATGGAAAGACAATAAAAAAAGGGCAACCTAATGCTATAAAGCTTCAGCTATGCACATGGTCCAGGGAAGGGTCCAACCCATGTGTGAGTCTATAGTAGGCATAGTTATCAAATGCGGATTGCGGTTTGATGCGGCCAACCCTCAAAATCGCTATAGTGTTATTGCGGTTTGCGGTTGCGGAAATAGCGGAAAAAATATATATTAAAAAAACAAATTATATATATATATATATATATATATATATATATTTGTAACATAATAAATTATTAAAAAAATAATAACACCTAAAAAAATACAAATAATAAAAAAATATAAAGATAAATATAGGGTTAAAGATAAAGAAGAGCATAGACGCACAACAGAGAGGCAGAAAGGCAAAAATATAGGGTTAAAACTATAAAAAGACACTGTTGCGGCGAGATTTGGCCGCGATTTGGCCACAAATGCGGCCGCAACGGCCGCTATTGCAATTTGGTGCGGTGCGGCGCTGATGGTTGCGGTGAAGCTCCGCAAAGTGCAACTGGCATGGCTTGCGGCACTATTGACTACTATGATAGTAGGCAGACTTGCATTTGCAACAGATAAGAAAGAGCAACAAAAATTACACCGTAATCATGTATTGATGCTATTAGGGGTTTGAGTAATTTGCATAAGGTCATAGGTTCAAACCTCACTGTTATCATTGTATCAAAAAAAAAAAATGTATTGATGCTATGTCACCAACCTAGAAATTCTGGGGGACTAATAATATACATTGTAAGAGTTCCTGAAATTGAAACAAATGCACAAGGCTACAGCATGGAAAACTTCTAAACAAGCATTTTGTCAAGAAATGAGCCATTTATTTCTAAAGGCAAAATCACCTGTCTAGCAGTTAGGGTCCTACCCCAAGAAACTCTGATCACTTGTTGACCTATAATCTTTCCTTGCATTTTCTGAATGGCTTCTTCAGCAGATGCTCTACAGACATCAGATATGGAAAAGATTAAAAAAAAAAAAAACAGTTAAAGATTGATGGAAGAGCTCAAGATGCAAAGCAAAATCATACCACATGAAACTTCCTTCAAAAGGCAACATGTTAAAAGCTTATCATTACTTTTAGTTTCAAAATATTTCACATAAAAACTTCAAATGCTTAAAAAGATGAATACCTAGTCCCAAATTGAACAAAACCACATCCTTTCCCAGCCTGAATTTTGACAGAGACAATTTCTCCAAATTGCAGAAAGGTTTGCTTCAGCTCCTCCTCCGAGACATTAAGATCCAAATTACCAACAAAAATGGTAGTGTTATTTGAATCATAATCTGGTGCAACTGTATTCACCGGTGTAGTATACGCCGGAATTGGATATATCGCTGCCAAGGAAAAAAAGAATAAAATCCATCGGTAAGTAGAAAAAAAAAAGAAAAAGACATTAGCACATTACAATTTTAGAACCCTAACCTTTAGGTGCAGCAGGTGCAGGTGCAGGTGCAGGAGCAGGTGCAGCAGCATATTGGTGTTGAAAAACAGTGGTTTTCTTAGGTGTAGCAGCACTGATACGCATGGGTCTAGTGGAGCAATAAACACCGTTCATCTCAGTCATGGCGCGATTCCTTTCATTCTCATCAGAGAATTTAACAAAGCCATAACCCTTGGAACGGCCCGTGTTAGGATCAGTAACAACCTTAGCACCTCTAACGGAAGGGTAATGGGCCCGAAAAGTCTCCTGAAGGAGATAATCGGTGACGTCAGGAGCAAGATCACCAACGAAGATCGAGTGTTCTGGGCCCGCATCGGGCCTGCGTTCACCGATACCGAAAGAAGCCCAATTAAGCCTGAAAGTTTGTTCAGTTCCAGGCATCTGTGTTCCGTTGTAACTCTGAAGAACCCTTTCCGCTGCACCGTGCGATACGAATTCAACAAAACCATAACCCTCTGGTTGCCCTGTCATCTTGTTGCGTATGATTTTGATCGAAACGACCTCGCCTGTGTGAGCGAAACAGTGACTGAGATAGTTTTCGTCGACCCAATACTGTAAATCCCCAATCCAAAGGGTTCGAACTTCTTCGATAGTTGAAGGTTGATGATAACCCTGCGCTTGCGAAGACGTTGTTGCCATTGATCCTCGTCTCTCTCTCTCTCTCTCTCTCTATTATTCAATAACAAGAACGACAATACATTCAGGCAGCAGTCACAAAGTTAGAACAAGTAGTTGATAGAATAGAACTTCCTCAATACAGGACATGGGTTGAGCGAGACCTTGTTTTTCAGCCCTCATTCATTAGTGACTTTTTTCACAATTGTTCTTTATATCACAATTAAAATAAAATAATATTCACAATAAATATTCTTAGATATTATAAATATTTTTATTATAATATTAAAGAAAGATATTGTGACAACCAAGTTGTGTTACTACCAAGTGACTACCAATCAATCTCACCGTTAGATCAATTATGTTGATCCAACGGTTATATTTATTTCCATATTTGTATGGTCATGATTTCCCATATTTAAAGTGAAAGCATTAAATATGAGAAATCATAACCATATAAAAGTGAAAATAAATATAAAGTATTAAATTTGGGAAGTCATGAACATACAAAGATGGAAATAAATATAACCGTTGGATCCATATAATCGATCTAACGGTAAGATTGATTGGTAGTCATTTGTTAGTAACACAATTTGGTTGTCACAATATCCTTCCCCTATAATATTATTATACTATACATACTTTTTTTTTTAATAAATACAAAATTATTAATCAGATAAGAAAGAATTATTAATAAGAATAAATGAATGATTATATTTATAAATTTTTTGTTTACAAACTCAATTACGTAAGGTAGTATATGGACTCAAAAGCAGTGTTGTTAAACCCAACTCGAGCATCGATTCGGTCAGGGTACTGGGTCACTGGTCGAACCGGATATATATAAATATATATACATATGAATATATACATTTAATTATATTCTCTATATCTAAAATAAGTTAAACAAAGTTCACTAAATAAGCTCAAAAATTACTCAATCACCCTTTTACAAGTTCATGAAGCACAAATAAATGAAAATACATGCTATTACTATGTCAATTTAAATAATAACTCAGAATCCCCACAAGCATACCTCTTAATGACATTGAACTCATATTTTTCAAATTCATATACATTGAAATGACAAATGTAAATTCTCTTAATTTATTGTTCCACAAATTGTTTCAGTATTGAAAGCTGAAATTTGAGGTCATTATAGAAGAATATACTAGCAAATAAAATTACAAATTTTTTTTAAAATGAGTTCTACATTTTGTTATGATAAGATGAATTTTTTTTGGTTTTTTGGTATTTGTTTATAAAAGTGCATGACCCGACCGGGTCACCAATTTTGTCCAGATTTGGCCGAATTTTAACTGAGTATGATACATGATCAGTCCAATATTTGACCCGAACGAGTCCGATAAACAATTTCGGGTCAATCTGGGTTTCACAACTGAATTCTGCCTAATAATTGAGTTGGACCTTAATTGATGAATGCCTAATAATTGGGTTTCACAACCCGATCGGATAACATGTTTGATATTTCATTATGAATGCCATAATCATAGAAAACAAATGAACAACTGAATTCTGCCTAATAGTTGAGTTGGACCTTAATTTGTCCTCTTCGTAAAACCTCCCCATAGTGATAATGGTGTGTAATAAGTGTGTAAAACAGCTAAAGGGCAAAGAATAGGCTCAACATCTTTCATTTTCCCGGGAAAATAATAAACGCAAAACAGTTATTAGTTACGGCACTTCGACCACTTTGTATCCAGAAAATGAAGATAATTTCTAATATTGACTTGGGCTAACTTGTTGACGGTCCTTTGTAAACGTGCTCCCTCCAATAAATAATGAATGGTTGATAACTTATATTTTGAGTAAAAGTTTGCAACTCTTTAACCAAATTAAAAATTTGCAACTGATTACAAAAAAAAATAAAAATTTGCAACTCACTATATATATATATGAGATAAGATCTTTTGACACCGGAGTCAAATTTCAAATTTGACATCTTATTTGTGAGCCGTTAGATCAAAAAAGATCAACGACTCTGATTTGTAAGCATGTGACACCATTGATCTTTTTTGATCTAATGACTCTCACTACTAGAAAAGTCCAATTTTTAGACGGAAATTTTCGACGCAAAATATTCCGTCAAAATTAGAAACGGAAATTTCAACGAAAAACGTATTCCGTTGCAGTTTTTGACGGAAATTATTTTTTGTGAAAAATTTTCAACGGAAATTATTTTCGTCGAAGATTTTTCGTCGAAGATTTTTCGACGGAATTCAGATTTCGTCGAAGATTTTCGACGAAAAATGAATTCCGTCGAATTTTTTTATAAAAATATATGTTAAAGAAATTATATTTATTGATTTTTCGACTCAATTCAAATTCCGCCGAAGATTTTCGACGAAAAATGAATTCCGTCGAAAACGATCATAAAAAATAAATAACAAAAGAAATTATATTTATGGATTTTTCGACGGATTTGGGATTCCGTCGAAGATTTTCGACGGAAAATGAATTCCGTCGAAAACGTTCATAAAAAATAAATCAGAAAAGAAATTAAATTTATAGATTTTTCGACGGAATTCAAATTCCGTCGAAGATTTTCGACGGAAAATGAATTCCGTCGAAAACGATCTTAAAAAAATAAATCAGAAAAGAAATTATATTTATGGATTTTTCGACGAAATTCGGATTACGTCGAAGATTTTTGACGGAAAATGAATTCCGTCGAAAAAGATCTTAAAAAAATAAATCAGAAAAGAAATTATATTTATGGATTTTTCGACGGATTTGGGATTTCGTCGAAGATTTTCCACGGAAAATGAATTCCGTCGAAAATGATGTTAAAAAAATAAATCAGAAAAGGAATTATATTTATGGAAATTTTGACGGAATTCGGATTCCGTCGAAGATTTTCAACGGAAAATTAATTCCGTCGAAAACGATCTTAAAAAAATAAATCAGAAAAGAAATTATATTTATTGATTTTTCGACGGAATTCAGATTTCGTCGAAGATTTTCGAAGGAATTCAAATTCCATCACAAACCATCTTAAAAAAATAAATCAGAAAAGAAATTATATTTATGGATTTTTCGACGAAAATCGGATTCCGTCGAAGATCTTCGCCGAAAAATGAATTCCGTCGAGAACGATCATAAAAAAATAAATCAAAAAAGAAATTATATTAATGGATTTTTCGACGGAATTCAGATTCCGTTGAAAATTTTCGACGGAAAATGAATTCCGTCGAAAATGATCTTAAAAAAATAAATCAGAAAAGAAATTATATTTATGGATTTTTGGACGGAATTCGGATTGCGTCGAAGAATTTCGACGAAAAATTAATTTCGTCGAAAACGATCATAAAAAAATAAATGAAAAAAGAAATTATATTTATTTATTTTTCGACGGAATTCGGATTCTTTCGAAGATTTTCGACAGAAAAGAAATTCCGTCGAAAACTATCATGAAAAAAATAAATCAGAAAAGAAATTATATTTATAGACTTTTCGACGGAATTCGGATTCCGTCGAAGATCTTCGACTGAAAATGAATTCCGTCGAAAACGATCAGAAAAAAATAAATCAGAAAAGAAATTATATTTGTGGACTTTTCGACGGAATTTGGTTTTCGTCAAAGATTTTCCACGGAAAATAAATTCCGTCGAAAACTTTTCATAAAAATAAAAGATAAACAATTATATATAATTTTTTTATTTCATTTAAAAACTATAATTTAAGTTCTTTTGTATTACCTTTACATATTTATAAAAAAATTAATTTTTTTATCTTTTAATTTATGATTTATATATATATATATATATATATATATATATATATATTTTATATTGGTTGTGTATATCTATTTAAAACGTGCTACAATATATATTTTCTTAATTTTCTCTTTCGTGTTGCAATAGTGTTGTATTGACATTGAATTTTTTTTTTTCTAAAATTTTGTTAAGAGAAGATTTCCCTAAACCGGTTAACAAAACAAACCTATCGAACTAATGACCTGTATTAATGGTTTTCAAATTCAATTCAATTTTGTTTAAGTTTTTTTTTTTTAAAAAGTCAAAAATTAAAATTCCAAATAATACATAAAGCCATCATTAATAGCATTTATTATTCCAAACGTTGTTGGCTATCAACTTTGATTAGAAACTCGATTTTTTAATGCATTTACATGAATGACATGACTGTATGATCTTATTTGCCTTTTAAAATTCCATTCAATAAGTTTGTTTAGGTTTTTCTTTAAAAAAATTCAAAATTCAAAACCGCAAACAATACAGAAAGACATAATTATTACAATTAAGATGTGGAAGGATATCTTATTGCCATAGAAATTTATCACTCTTACAACAAACCTAATCACCATTAATTTTTGTCAATCAAGCGGTTATGATTTATTGAAAATTATTGGGTCGTATTGATTATTTAATTATTAATTTCTAATAAATCCTAAATTATAATTGTTTGATTGACGGAAATCAAACGATTATTTTTATAATATCTAAATATTTTCTTAAAATTTTTTACTTCCATAGTTTATTTTAAAATATTGAAATTTGAAACCTTTCAAATTGAAAAAGAGAAATACTTTTAAAAGGAAAAATGAGGCATTAAAAAATAAAGAAATTATTTTAAAATTTGGTAATCTTTCACTTTTTTTACATTTCCTTTTTTTCCAAATTCTTTCCCTCTCTTCTTATTTTTCACCGTGTAAAACTCCCGCTTTTTCTAAGTTTTCCAAATCCCTTATTTCCCAAATAGTTTATTCTTGTCGCTACTCTTGTGAATAGGGGTGGAGGGGAGGCCAAGTCGACGAGGATGCAATCAAGGGGTTCTGTTTCAGGCGCACGCAACGGTCATAGGGGCAGTGATGTTGAGGTGAAGGGGAAAGATGGACCGAAGTTTAGGGATTTAGGTGGAATGAAGGAGGTTTTGGAGGAAAGACTAGCACTTTTACATATGAAGCTGAGTCGTCACCTGATGAAGGGTCTTTTCTTGTAGCAGCAAGATAATTTGGCTTTGAGTATTGTAGAAGGACTCAGTCACGTATTTTCATACGTGAAAGATTTTCTACTTCAGGACAAGTGGTTGAAAGGTAAGCAATCATGAAAACTCATACTCATCCATATTTTCCCCTTTTCAGGGGGTCTGGAAATTTGCTTTCACCTTTTAATTCTTTCAATTCTTGTGTCCTTGTCTTTATTGGTGTATTTAATTTTTAATTTATGTGCTTTTGGGTGAATTGTACAAGGAATACAAACTCTTGAATCTGTTGGATTTCACTAGTAAAAGAAAACGAATGTCCGTGATGAGGAGGGAAAGATTTTTCTTCTTTGCAAAGGGGCTGACAGGTTGGCTTACTGAATCTGTTATTCTTACCTATAGTGCTCATTACTAACAGCAGAATATATGGTGTTAATGACCAATAAAACCTTCTCTCAGATTTTATATTGGAATAAAGGAAATTGAACCATTCAAGCTTGTGGAGTTTAAAATCATTATACCACTAATATACATCATAATCACAACAGCTCCCTGCTTCCAAAGAAGCTTGCAAAAACTTGCATGTATGCTCTCGTAGAGAGATTTTCAACACTCTCTTTAAACTTTGACATCCATTATTTACTTGCTTGGTTATGCAGTATCATATTTGATCGGTTGTCAAAGAATGGGAAAATGTATTTGGAGGCTACTACCAGACATTTAAATGAATATGGAGAAGCTGGTTTGCGAACGCTAGCCCTCGCTTATAGAATGCTTGATGAGCAAGAGTACTTTGCTTGGAACAATGAATTTCAGAAAGCCAGAGCAGCTGTTGGGGCTGACAGAGAGGCAATGCCTGAGCGGGTATCGGAGATAATGGAAAGAGAGTTGATTCTTGTTGGCGCTACTGCTGTGGAAGACAAATTGCAGAAAGGGGTATATAGAAAACTAAGAGGATTTGAATATGTTGTTATATTTAATGAAATGGCTGATAGCCAATATATACACAAGTCGGTTATACAGAATCAAGGAGGATCAACTAGAATAAAGTATATTGTTCAACAAACTATACATGGAATAATAACAAACTATTCTTGCTAAAAACTAGGACTTAGTTGCTAAAGGATAAGATCAAAGGTGATCTTCTCCTAACACGCCCCCTCAAGTTGGAGCATGAAGTGACGAAATGCCCAACTTGCTGCGAAGAAAACTGAATTGCTTCATGCCAAGCGGTTTGGTAAATATGTCTGCGAGTTGTTGATCTGTACGAATGTAGGTAGTAGTGATTGTATTGCTGAGAACATGATCGCGTACAAAATGACAATCAATCTCTATATGTTTGGTACGTTCGTGGAAAACTGGATTAGCAGCTATTTGCATGGCAGATTGGTTATCACAGTGCAACTGCATAGGGTGTGAATGTGGAACATCAAGCGAGTCCAGAAACGATTTGATCCATAACAACTCAGCTGTAGCTGCTGCCATTGAACGATACTCAGCTTCAGCGGAGGAGCGAGACACTGTGGGTTGCTTCTTTGTTTTCCAAGAGATAGGAGAAGTACCCAACATGATAAAATAACCAGTAACTGATCGACGGGTGAGTGGACAGCTAGCCCAATCCGAATCAGAATATCCACGAAGAAGGAGATCATTGTCGGATCGAAGGAGTAAACCTTGGCCAGGATCAGTTTTGATGTACCTTAAAACGCGGATGACAGCATCATATTGAGCAATAGTAGGATTTTGCATGAACTGGGAAAGAACATGGACGGAGTAACTTAACTCAGGTCTAGTAATTGTCAAGTAAACCAAACGTCCTATGAGTCTTCTGTAACGTGCGGGATCCGAGAATGGAGGACTTTCTGTAACTGCAAGCTTATGATTTGTTTCGAGAGGGAAGGCACATGGTTTGCACGCAAGGAGACCAGCGTCTTCCAATATGTCGAGAGCGTACTTTCGTTGGCTCAGAAAAAGACCTGATGGACCGTGAGCTATTTCGATGCCAAGAAAATATTTAAGAATCCCCAAATCCTTGATGTGAAAGCATGACTGGAGAAAGACCTTGACATCGGTGCATAAGGCATCATTGTCGCCCGTTAGAATAATGTCATCAACGTAGATGAGAAGAGCAACAAAGTGGCCATCTTTGTGTAAGGTGAATAAGGTGTAATCTGCCTTGGATTGGATGAAGCCATATGATTCAATGGAAGACCGCAACTTATCAAACCAATTGCGAGGGGACTGCCGCAAACCGTAGAGAGATTTACGTAAGCGACATACTTGATGTGGTTTGTGATGATTGAAACCTTGTGGAACGCGCATGTAAACTTCTTCGGTAAGGTCTCCGTGTAGAAAGGCATTCGTAACATCCAACTGGTATAGGTGCCATGATTTGGCAGCAGCTACCGCAAGAAGTGTTCGGACACTCACCATTTTGGCTACAGGAGCATATGTATCGAAGTATTCTTCTCCAGCTATTTGATTGTTACCGGCAATGACCAACCGTGCTTTGAATCTCTCCACTGTACCATTTGAGTGTACTTAATGCGGTATACCCACTTGCATGGAATGACACGTTTTCCTGGTGGCAAAGAAGTGAGTTCCCACGTGTGATTTTGTTCAAGGGCATCTATTTCTTTTCGCATTGCTACACGCCACCTTTCATCAGTTACAGCATCCTTGAATGTTTTTGGTTCAACACCAGAAGAAATGGCAGCAAGGAATTGTTGATGTTTGGGAGAGAATCTAGAACAAGAAACAAAGTTAGCAATAGGATAAGCCATACCTGAGGAAGGACTGGAAGAAGTAGAAGAAGCTAGTGGATTATGTGCGATGACTTTGGAGCATTCGAAATCTTGGAGATATGATGGAGGACGGCGAGAACGGTGACCACGTCCCAAAGGTGCAGATGGATGTGTGACTTCTGGGGGCTGTTCTTGTCGGATAGAAAGCTCATTGGAGACAGTAGGGGCAGATTCAGGCTGAGCCTGTTCAACAGGGAGAGTGTCTTCAATTAAAGGGACAGGGTTGGTAACAACTTGGGAATCAAAGGATGGGCTTTGTGGAGCAAGGGTTGGTTCGGGTGATATGGGGTTATGGGGGTTTGGGTCGTGAGGAATATCAGTGGTAGGAATGACTGTGGTTGGTGCAAAAGGAAAGGTGTTCTCTTCAAATACCACGTCTTTGGATACAAAAACAATACGTGTTTCAAGGTTATAAAGCCTCCAACCCTTTTTGCCAAAAGGATATCCCAGGAACAGACACCGAGTTGATCGAGCTGCAAACTTGTCCAACGGTTTGGGACGTGGATGAGCATGGCAAAGACATCCGAATATGCGAATATGATCATAGCTGGGTGTGCGGTTGAAAAGACATTCATATGGTGTTTTTCCTTGGAGAAGAGGAGTGAGGGTTCTATTGATTAAATGTACCGCAGTTAGAACACATTTACCCCAAAACTCGATAGGAAGACTAGCTTGAAAGCGTAATGCTCTTGCAACATTCAAAATATGTCTATGTTTCCGTTCAACACGACCATTCTGCTGTGGTGTGTCTACACATGATGTTTGATGTATAATTCCCATATCGGAATAAACCTTGCGGAGATTATGAGCACAAAATTCTGATCCATTGTCGGAGCGTATTATTTTGACCATGGTATTAAACTGATTACGTACAATGAGAAGAAATCGAGTTAAGTATTGGAACGTTTCAGACTTGGTGGTCATTAAATAAACCCAGACGTTTCTGCTATAATCATCCACAATTGTTAAAAAATATCTTGCACCGGTTAGAGAGGTAGTTTGATATGGACCCCAGATATCGCAGTGAATAAGATCAAAGCATGCAGTAGTTTTATTAATGCTAATAGGGAATACAGTACGAGTTTGTTGTGCGCGTAGGCAAATGTCACAAACTGAAGGAGAATGATCCCTATTTTTATTCACTGTAACAAAAGGAAGAAAGCTTAAAAACTGAAATGAAGGGTGACCCAATCGACGGTGCCAAACATCTGCATTCTGTTGAGTGTGAGCCGCACATGCAGTAGAGATGGATTTGTTGTTGGATGAGTCATGCACATAAACACCAGCTTGCAATCTACCCAGTCCAGTCTTGATCCTCGTTATGGGGTCCTGCAATTCACAACCATTGTGAGTAAAAGAAATGATGCAATTTGTATCAGCAAGTAATTGAGCAACTGATATGAGGTTGCATTGTAATTTGGGAACATATAACACATTCTGAAGAGAAATATGAGATGTCAACTTGAGACTGCCACTGTGATTGGAAACAAGTTGATCACCATCAGGTAAACCTATTGTAGTGGGTGGAATAGATGTAACATTGGAGATTAAATGGAGATTCCCTGTCATGTGTTGAGAAGCGCCACTATCCACCAACCAGGTAGAAGGCAGAGTGTGCTTACCAGAAAGGGATGTAGTGTTAGCAGACGGTGTAGTGGAGGAAACAACCATGTTGGCAATTTGCTGTAGAAGCTCAGGACTCAGGTTGGGAATCGAGTTTTGGTTGGACACTATAGGTGTTGTAGCTGCTGTTTGTGATGCAGAAAAATTGAATGGGTTGGGACGCTTGTTATTAGCATTGATATTGACAGCGGAAGAATCTGAATCAGAATCAGTCATTGGGAAAGTGGATCGATACCTTCAAACTGATACCATATAGAAAACTAAGAGGATTTGAATATGTTGTTATATTTAATGAAATGGCTGATAGCCAATATATACACAAGTCGGTTATACAGAATCAAGGAGGATCAACTAGAATAAAGTATACTGTTCAACAAACTATACATGGAATAATAACAAACTATTCTTGCTAAAAACTAGGACTTAGTTGCTAAAGGATAAGATCAAAGGTGATCTTCTCCTAACAGGGTAGGAAGAAGAAGATGGGTAGCACCGCCATCTCCGTCTGTGCAACCACCGTCGCTTTGTTCGCTCTCCTCTTCATCTCCTCCGTCCGCTCCTTCTACCTTCCCGGCGTTGCTCCTCGCGATTTCCAAATCGTATGTTTTCCATTTCTCGTCTTTACTCTCTCTCTCTCTCTCTCTCTATATATATATATATATATCTTGATTAGTGCTTTCCTCTACGTTTGTTCTTCGAATTTCTACGCGATATGCTTCTTCGGCTTCTCGATTACCTTTAATCGTGCATAAAACTACTCGGATCTTGGGTTTTAGCTCTGATTTGTGTCGAATCTTTTGTTTTTGTATATATATATATATATATATATATATATATATATATTGGTAACCGATTTTGTGTTCCTGGAAGAACTGAACTCTTTTTCTGGTTATTGTGGATGATTTAGTTGTTATGAGGTGTTATGAATTTAGATTGTTGTGTAATGTAATCGTTAGTTCTGCAGAAGGATATTCATGTTTCCATTTCCAAAGATGGAATCTCAGGAGATCTTCATTCTCAGTTTCGAGCTCTTTCATCACTGTCTGAGTCCCACTCTTAACTGTTTCAAGGCTCTTCATCCAATTTGACGAGCGATGAAACTTGATTATATTTTGATAGGTGCACGTGAAACTGTGTGTTAGGTTGTGACTTGTGTAATCTAGCTCTTTGTCTTTTTATTTCAAGAAGAAGAAGAAAACTTGTTGCGTGGCATTTGCGATGTTGTAATTGTTGATTTGGGGAATTTGGTAGAGACTGAGAACATTTTATTTCAGTTTGTTGATTTTTTTTTTGGTTTCTAGTTTTATTACGAGTGCTTGAAGATATTGATTTATTGTTTAATCTGTGGGACCAGGGTGACCCTCTAGCTGTCAAAGTTAACAAATTATCATCTACAAAGACTCAACTTCCATATGACTACTACTACTTGAAGTATTGCAAACCCGTTGAGATTTTGAACAGTGCTGAAAATTTGGGAGAGGTTCTTCGAGGTGATCGCATTGAGAATTCAATGTATACGGTGGGCATCTGTTATCTTAATTCTTATCCTTGACACTTAGTTGAATACATGGAGATGATATTCAGTGACCATTGTTTCTTATTTTGTTATGTCAACCTAAAGAACTTTGTGACTTTTGTTTTTTGCTCAGTTTCATATGAGGAAAGAACAGTCTTGTACTGTTGCTTGTCATGCAACTTTGGATGCTGATTCTGCAAAGAATTTTAAAGAAAAAATTGATGATGAATATCGAGTAAACATGTAAGTGATAAATATATTGAAACCAGTGCTTAGTTATATAGTATCAGTTCATTTAATTACTTTTCTAAGATTTGTTGGCAAGTTGACTGCTTGTGTATAGGTTCTTGCTTTGTATTCCCTTGATTAAGAAGCTTTGAATTGAACATACATGATTTTGGATAACCTTCCAGTTGCTGTTCTTAGACAAAGGAGGGATGGAAGTCAATCAACAACATATGAACATGGTTTTCGTGTTGGATTCAAAGGAAAATATCAAGGGGTAAGAATACTAATAATTGCATATGCATGTAGATTAAATAAATGGTAAGCCTTTTTTTATACTCACCGTATTATGTTGTTATTGTTTTATGAATTGATATCACGCAGTTGGCAGATGGGGTCACGGATCTGTCCACTGTGGATTGGGCTGTATTCAAGCATACACACACATCTAAAGATGATCGTGACAGGTGGTGCAATGACAAGGCAAAGGCAAAAGCTGTGAGTAATATTTATTTTTACACCAAATGTTTACTTTAGAAAGCTGATTAGTTTCAGTGTACATGACTTTAACACATCAATACTTTCTATGTAAATTTTAGGATGACTTTACGAGACTTAGGGAAGAGAGAGACAGTCAAGTCACTCCAGGAGTGGATGCTAGCAGTGTTGCCTCAGATAATGATTTAATCTTACAGGCAGCTGGTGGGGTTAACAGTAAAGGACGGGTATACGGTTTAAGTACACGGGGAGGAGTATATAAGCAATCTCGACTCTCCAATAGGCTACCATTTGGAGTGTCGCAGCAGGAGAATGACAGGATGCGCACATTGATTCTACAATTGCAGGGTACAGTTGCACAGCAAGAGGAGAAGGCTACACAACAACAGAAAAAGGTTGACAAACAGGATAGTGTAATGCTTATGATGCATAGGCGAATGGACACCATGGAGAAGCTTTTGCGAAGGGTTCCTGTGGAGTTATTAGATATTGAGGATGACGATGAGACTCAGCCCCCGTCTCAGGACCTAGGTGATGACCACGATCATGCAGGTCATCCACCAGCATGACTTTTGTATCTTTGTTGGATGTATATGACCGGGACTATTGTCCATAGACTATTTTGATTAGTATATGACAGAGACTTTTGTATATGTATGTCCCTGTTTGATTAGTATATGTCTTGGACATTTATACATATAGGACTCTTTTGATTTGTATATGACAGGGGACTTTTGTATATGTATGTCCCTTTTGATTAGCATATGTCTTGGACATCTTTAGATATAGTACTCTTTTGATTAGTATATGATAGAAACTTTTGTATATTTATGTCCCTATTGATTAGTATATGTCTTGGACATTTATATATATAGGACTCTTTTGATTTGTATATGACATGGGACTTTTGTATATGTCCCTTTTGATTAGCATATGTCTTGGACATTTTTAGATACTCTTTTGATTAGTATATGATAGAGACTTTTGTATATGTATGTCCCTATTGATTAGTATATGTCTTGGACATTTATATATATAAGTCTGTTTTGATTAGTATATGACAGGGATTTTTGTACACATAATTATATTAAAATCATATAATTGTGATATATAATACCCCAAACTTAAGCATTTAATTGATTAATTTTAATTAAATAATTAAGCATGTTTTAGTGAGTAAAATTAAGTATAAGGCTTAATTAAATGAATCTGAGTTACTTGGAGTTAAAAAGTGTACTCAGTGAAAATTAAGGGGTATAAATGGGTACAGGCAAAAGTGCCCAAAATATAAAAATAAAAATGAAAATATTCCTAGAATAATATTCCAGACTTTTGGGTAAAGTTTGGTAATTAATGGAGTTGAATAGATAGACGAACCAATACCCGCTTAAAGTCACTTAACCTAAGTTAAGTGACCAAAGCACAAAAGAACCCTATTTCCCATCCCATTTCCGTCGAGCAAGAAAGAGAAGAAAAGAAGAAGAAAGAGAAGGAGGAGAAAGGGAGAGAGAAGAAGAGAGAGGAGGGAGCAAATCCTAACTGTTTTGGGTGATTCCAAAGCCTAAACCACTCTAAATCTTCCCCTCTTTCATAATCCTAGCTTAGTTTTGAGTGGGGAGCATTGTGGAGAGAGATATTGCCTCTCAAAAATTCGGCCCTTTGTGAGATTTTGGGGTTTTGGGAATTTCTACCTCTATGGGAGCTTGAGAAACGCTCCTTGCTTGGTTGTGCAACCATTGGTGGTAAGATTCTACCCCTTGAACCTTATTTTCATGGAAAATTGCATGAGTTAGGGTTTATGAATAGTATTTTAGGGTTTTTATGAAATGTTGAGTAGATTGGCTATGTTCAAGGAAGAATGAGGCTTAGAGTATGTTGTGAAAAATGCTAGGAATGACATTTAATCGGTAGAAATGAGTTTATAGTGTTATTTTAGTATGCTTTGATGTTTGGAGAAATCTAGGCTTGGAACTATGGATTTCCTTGCATTGTTAGCATTGTTTGACTGTATTCCTTGTGTTGATAGGATTGAGGCAAGAGGACCAAGTGGAGTGACCAACCCTTGGGGTTGTGTGCAATTGAGGAAAGCTCAAGAGCAAGGTAAACCTTTGGACCTTGGGGTTGATCCCATTGAGTGTTCCACCATACTCCATTGAGGAGAAATGGTTTATGAGATGTGATATGTAATTATGATAGTAATTGTATGCTCATGCATTGATTCATGCATTGATACATGTTATGATTGATTGATGATTATTGGTTGATGTTTGATTGTTTAAGAGTAATTGAGGAATGGTTATAGAAGTAGCAATAATGAATGAGGTAATGGTTGAGGATTGTGATTGAGGTTATGAGTGATAGTATTATGATGAGGATAATTAGTAGGAACTTCCCTTGGAAACAGCCCTATGTGGATTTCCATGTGGTTAGAGCCTAAGAGGAACAGCCCTATGTGGATCCCTCTTGGAGGTTCTTAGATTGAGGAAAGGACTTCCTTGGAAACAACCCTAGGTGGATCTCCATGTGGGAAGAGCCTAAGAGAAACAACCCTTTGAGGATCTCTCTTGGAATAGATTGAGGAAAGGACTTCCCTTGGAAACAGCCCTATGTGGATCTCCATGTGGTAAGAGCCTAAGAGAAACAGCCCTTAGTGGATCTCTCTTGGAAGTCCATGTGATGCTTGTGGATAAGAATGTGTTAAGCTATTATGATTATGTGTACATCGAAAGTGAACCTTAGGGTGGAGTGATCTCCAAGGACCTCTGGTTTACTGTGATATATTTGTATATCTCACCCGTGTTGTGGGGTATCATTTCAGGTACTGATAGAGGTGAGGTTGATCGAGGCAAGAAGCATGAGTACATTGTACCTGATAGCTGGACATGTTAAGTTGCATGCCATTTAACATTGCTATATGTATATTTTGATGCCACATGATGTATTTTGGAGGACTTAGTGCATGATCATTGTAGTAGTAATGGGTATCTGATACATGGTTACTTGCTTTGATCATGTTCCTTTTGTAGCTAAGTCCTTTGGCATGTATATGAGATTTGTAATTAAGACATGATGTAATATTGTAAGTAATGAAGATATTTGTGTATGATGCTTACTGTAAGTTAAATGCATGAATGTATTTTATGTATTGGACATGTTGAGCTGGAAAGTCAATTAGGTACCTTGTGCTAAGTTGGGAATTGTTGAGAAAACAAAGGTTATGCTGCCCAAATTTTAGTACAAGCCATGAGGAAAAGGGCATGCATGTCCCTTTAGATGTGTTTGTATTATGCAAGAACTAAGAACCATTTATGGAGAGGAATTTATATGATAGATTTAGACCGTGGTGTATGTATGGAAGTTGTAGATATTTTTCTTAGCTTTCCATAGAGATCAATATTGTGTAAATTGGACAAGTACAACTCTATATAGAGGTAAAATACTAAGAATTGGTGAAACCTTTAGGACTTTGGCGCACCGCGCGCCATTGTGCTTGGAAGCTTCTGTTTCGTGGCGCAAATCGCGCCGGCGTTGGCGCAAATCGCGCCGGGATCACCAGCTGGCGCACCTGGCGCCAACCTTGGCGCCTCCAGTGCCATAGTGATTGGGAGCTTCTGTTTCGTTGGCGCCCACCGCGCCACATCTGGCGCCAGTCGCGCCGGATCAGCAGGATTCGCGCACGCGTTTCGTAGAAAACCCATAACTTGGGCTACAGTGCTCCGATTTGAGCGCGGTTTGAACCCACGCGTCGCTAACGAAGAGATCTACAATATAGTAGAAGTTGTGAAATAAATAAGAAGTGAATTAATGGTTTAAAAATGGAATAAGAACATGATGTTAAGCTTGGTTTATCTGATTCCGCAAGGTAAAAGGGTTATGATCACGCAATTGGATATTTTAAATTCGGCGTCGTTTTAAAAAGAAATATTTATCCGGATTTTTAATTGAGCCAAATGTGATTGTAACTGCGCTTAATATCATAATGCGATGTTAACAAACCGGTTCTAGAACGGGGTGTTACATGATATGTTACTTTCATTATATTTGTTTATCAGGTGTGAAACATAAATTGATATTAATTTTGTAGAGAAAAAAATATTCAACGAAATTTTATGAATTTTTTGTCGAAATTTTTTGACGGAATTTGTTTTCCGTCGAAAATTATTAAAAGATTTTTCGACGGAATTTCATTCATTTTCCGTCAAAAATTTTCGAGAGAATTTATTTTCCGTCGAAAATCATTAAAAGATTTTTCGACGGAATTTCATTCAATTTCCGTCGAAAAATTTCTACAGAATTTATTTTTCGTCGAAAATTATTAAAAGATTTTTCGACGGAATTTCTTTCATTTTCCGTCGAAAAATTTCGACAGAATTTATTTTTCGTCGAAATATCTTTTGATTTTCGACGGAATTACATTCATTTTCTGTCGAAATTTTTCCACAGAAATTGTTTTCCGTCAAAAATTGATACAAGATTTTTCGACGGAATTTCATTCATTTTCCGTCGAAATTTTCCAAAGAAATTATTCCGTCGAAAAAATTCGACGGAAATTTGACGGAAATAATTTCTGTCGAATTTTTTCGACGGAATCTCTAATTCCGTCGAAAAATTTGTTACCTACGAAGACTTATTCGATGGCTGCTTTTCCGTCAAAAATTCTGTCGAAAATGTTATTTTCGATGGAATTTTTATCATTTTTGACGGAATTTTTTCGTGGAAAAAAATATATTTTCTAGTAGTGTCTCAGATGAGGTGTCAAATTTAAAATTTGACACCGGTGTCAAATTTAAAGTTTGACACCTCACTTGAGAGCCGTCAAAAAAGATAAACGACTTTGATTTGTAAACATGTGATACGATTGATCTTTCTTGATCTAACGATTCTCAGATGAGGTGTCAAACTTCAAATTTGACACCGGTGTCGAATGATCCAACCTCATATATATATATATATATATATATATATATATATATATAGGGATAAGATCCGTTTACAAACTTTTTTTGCATACACTAAGTACTACCGGTCGTATACTGCATGATTAAAAGTATGACCGGTCGTACTTAGTGTAGTTTGTAAGAGTTCGTAAACAAAAAAGTTTGTAAATATAACATGTCCCGTATATATATATATATATATAAATTTGTTTTTGCAACTCACTCGAAATTAACAATAAAAAAGAAGATAAAATAAATATAAATAAGTGCATTATAATATTTTAATTTTAATAAGCAATGTGTTGAATCTTTTGTATGAACATGAGTATGACAATGGGAAAAAATTTCTGTCATTAAAAAGATACCATTAAATGTGCGACACAAATTAAACTTGACATATTCAATAATACAGAAAAAAAAAAAAATTCTCATGATTGTCCGACCAAAAGGAATATCATAAATTCTTTATTGAATTTTTATCTTCAATCTCATCATACGTACGTACCATGAGCTATTAACAACATTTAGGCACATGGTGTGAGAGAGACATTAGGTTGAGTTTAAAAATTGAAATAACTTACTCACCAAAGTCTAGCTGAAGAAGCGTTACTTAGCGATTCCACATGGTGCTTGTGCTTGCTTAATTAGTCGTCTTATTTGCAACGGTATTTATGGCTGTTTAATCGGTCCTCTATCCACCACTCAGCTGACACACTTATTCATTGATTAACCAATATCTAATTTTTTTCTCCAAATTATTATCTCACACTCTCTCTTGTCTATTCTTCAAAAAGTTTTTTTATTGTCCTCTCATATTTTTGTCTCTAACATAGTCATAGAAGCCATGGCGTTACCCGCTACAATTGCTATTCTTCCTTTAGGCACTCTTTTCATTCTATCTGGCCTCATTGTTAATGTAATCCAGGTAAGATTCAATCCACACTCATTATGTTGTATTCTTCCTCATTTTCTAATTCCACAATTACCATTGATCATTACCTCATTGGTATTTAAAGCACATTTTTTCATAATATTTGAATGTCATGTAAACTAAATTTCTTTGCCTATACGCATCAAGACTGTTGTATTTGAATGTACATCTTGATCAACTCTGCCTTGTTATTATTGTGCATTAGAATTCTTAAAGGAAGGAAACAAGAAGAATTGCTTGACCATTAAAATAAATTTACAAATTCTCATTTTCATTTTAACTTTTGATTAGTTTATCATTTCATCTAATATCATAGTAAATATACATTTGCAGGCAATCTTCTTTGTCCTTGTTCGTCCACTATCAAAGACTTTATACAGAAGAATAAACAAAGTGCTTACAGAATCACTATGGTTGGAGCTTATATGGCTCGTTGATTGGTGGGCAGGTTTCAAGGTTTTTTGTTATCTTAACTCGTATATATTTATTATTTAATCTAACCCTCATGCTTGCATTGTAGTAGAATAAGAGTGCGTTTCTATTGGATTTTTAAAAAAGCTCTTTTTATCACTTTCTTATTTTAAAAGTACTTTTTATAAAAGTTACAGCTATTTAGATTTTTAAAATATTTGACTCTTAGCTTCTGCTTTTTTTAAAAGTTAAAATTTTTAGCTTCCGAAAAAAAGTAGATTTTTGACTTTTTTTGTGACTTCTGCTCCAAACAGACTTTTTCTTTTTTCGAGAAATACTTTTTTTTTCTTACAAAAAACAGTTTTTGAAATAAAAGAAGCTCACCCAAACAGGCTCTAAATATAATTCATGAAAAAGCACCATATTTCTGCATGCTAAAATTTGTGAATGGTAAGATAACGTTATCATATTATGAGGAAAAGAGAAAAGAATTGCATGCATTATTTTTTTGTGTTTAATACTTATAGTGCTTAAAATTAAATAGCTTCGAAAATGAAATAGATGAGGTTATGCATCTTTGGATGCTGAATCATACATCCATGCAGTACATGCTATAAACAATACTGTATCAGAATTCGTGAAAAATGCTGTTCTATTGGTTAGTCTTATTTTCTGGCAATTCAGTAATCATCATTAATGCCTTATTTTGACTATGTTTTGACATGCTGAGGACTTTTGAAAAGTATATTAGTTTTACATTATCCACACTGCAGTCTAACTAGTTGAATCTTTGTGTTGCAGGTTAACCTGTACGTAGATTCAGAAACTTTTCAATTAATAGGTAAGGTGACATTCGTGGTTAAGTTCTTATAAATCATTTTTTTCTTTTTACATTCTGTTGCTGAAAAGAGTGTACCACTCAAACAGAACGGATCTCACAAATTTGCAATTTTATCTGAAAAAATTTTAGGTAAAGAAAATGCACTTCTGATCTGCAACCACAAGAGTGACGTTGATTGGCTTATTGGATGGGTCTTAGCTCAGGTGCCTATTATCTGTGAATTTATTAAAGGGGTTGTTTTTTCTGATGTTACTTTAGATAACTTTATCTAATGTTCATCAAAACGACGTCGTTTTGAGACGGAAATTATGGTATTTTTGTAATTTTAATTTATTTCAGGGTTATAATAGTTATCACTCTAATTTTTTAATTTTTCAATCTCAAAACGACGTCGTTTCGATGAACATTAGATAAAGTTATCTAAAGTAATATCGGAAACTTTTCCCCCTTTATTAAAATGCACAAGTTTTCATGTTATGATAGCATTATTAAATTACATCTTTTTTTTTTTGTCTGAGCACTTTGCTTCCAAGAAGGAAAGTGATCTCAGAGTCATCTAGTTTACTCTGTTCTTAAAATGTTACTTTCACTGCGAGAAGACGCCAGTTTTAAAAAAAGCTCTGCAAAGGATACCCAAATTTCCACCTTTCTTTTTGCCCTTATAAATTGACGGTAGAAGAAGGAAAAGCTGAGGTTAATTTTGCAATTAATAGTTTCATAACATTTTTCATTATCACATAAAGAATTGAAATCATGTATTATTAGAGTAATATAAAATTATTGATGAGCCTTCACTTACCCGCTTAAGTTGTTAGGTGAATTGGTTTTTTATTGTGGTATTACAGCCTATGTGACTACAGTGACATGGTTGCTTATTGAATTTGTTTTTTTTTTTTTTTTATTTAATTTTCTTTGAAATTTAGAGTGTAGCTGTTCTTCTAAACCATTATGTGCACACACAATTGCATGGCTCATGAGCATGCTATTTGTTACCATTTCTGGCTCATGTTTTCATCTTTATATATATTTGAACACATGATTTCATTTGTGACAGCGCTATGGTTGCCTTGGTTGCACTAGAGCCATTATGAAGAAAGAGGTCAAATACCTTCCCGTGAGTTTCTTCAAACCCCACACCTTTGTTCCTTACAAATTAGGAAATGTATCAAGGCTTTTTCTTTTACGTTTATCAGTATTATTATATTTTCCAGTTTGCTAGTTCTGCTTGCTTGATGATTAGTTTTGAGTGGGCTGTGTGCATAAATTTCTCAATCCATTAACAATGAATTTGAAATGGGACTTTACTTGAGAATAATAAGTGACTATGATGTAAGAATAAAGCAGAAAATCTTGTGAGTTCTTGCATAAAGATAGCATAGCATTAACAGTTCTATCTAGTAGTCCAATCTAAAGTAATTTTCAATCTTGAACTTGTCATGACTTAGCCATTGCATCAGCAAACTGCATCACAATTGATCGTGTTGCTGAACTGACTTGAACTTCTGAACTTTATAGTGTTTGAAGCACCAGAAATCGTATCGTAGACAACATTATAAATTCCCTACACCCTAGGACTTTCTCTGATGATGAAATGGTGCTACTAAGATACTGTGATAGAAAATTGATCTTTAATGATAGGGTGATAAATGTACGGTACATCAATGCAGGTTCTAGGTTGGTCAATGTGGTTTGCTGAATTTTTATTTTTGGAAAGAAACTGGGCTAAAGATGAAGCAGCACTGATGGTAAATCTAAATAAATTCTGCTAACTCGTTTAATGTAATATTCCTTATTTGCATTTTTTTCGGTAAATTATTCCTTGTTAACATTTTATTTATATATCTTTTTTTTTTTTTTACTTTTGTGTGACAGTCAGGTTTTAAGAGGCTAGAGCACATCCCAATGCCTTTTTGGTTGGCTCTTTTTGTTGAAGGAACTCACTTTACTCAAGAAAAGCTTTTAGCAGCTCAAGAGTTTGCTGTTTCAAGAGGGTTGCCTATACCCAGAAATGTTTTGATTCCTCGTACTAAGGTGAACAAAGTTGATGCTTAGTATATTAGGAGATTACTATAATTTTCCACTGATATAGTATAATCTTTTTCCTGAACTTTATCCTAGTAGCAACTTTTTTAATTTTTTTTTTTAATTACACTTTTGTAGTTTTGTTTTGGCTGATATATTTTACTGATGATAATCTTTCTTCAGGGTTTTGTGGCAGCAGTAACACATCTGCGGACAACCGTTCCAGCCATTTATGATTGCACATTTGTAGTTCCAAAAAGTGAGCCTTCACCAACAATGTTGAGAATATTTAAAGGGATTTCTTCTTCGGTAAGCCAATTGGTAACCTTGACAAAAGCTAAATTACAGAAAATAAACAAGGGAAAAAGAAGTATCATTGGACACAAGTTGTGTGATTTTAGATGATTTACACAAAATATGACCGGTCATATTTTGTGTAAACCTGAAAAGTTATTTTTTTTTTCTCTCTCCTTAGTCACATCGCTGACGTGTAAAGTGAAAGAAAAACAACTTTTCAGAATTACACAGAGTCTGACAAGTCACACTCTGCGTAAGTCACTAAAAGCACACAACTTGTGTCCTTTTAAACGACACTAAACCCAATAAACAAAAGCTTTTTCTGTGTACCTTCAAAATAAACCGTATTACACAATTATTGCTATTTGTCTACCGTCCATTGGTGATTTATTATTTATTGAACCTCTATGGGTATTGTACTCATCAAAAGAAAAAATGGCTTCTTTTTTCTGGTTTCGTTGGTTGAGATTTTTATTGATCTGTAATGGTTGATACATCAAGGGCTGTGATAATATTTGTCAGACTTTAGTTTCATTAGAATGTCTTTTTTGGTATTGTGACGATGGTTGATATCATGAACCGTAGCTCCATCTTGAAAATGGAAGATATAGTTAACTACCATAATTCCTACAACTAAATATATGTTCCTCCGCTTTTTACAGGTGATGGTTCAAGTTAAACGACACAAAATGGAGGAACTTCCACAAACAGACGATGGCATTTCACAATGGTGCAAAGACATATTTGTTGCCAAGGTATTACAAATAATGTAGAATATAACATGTCGCATTAGTGATCAAACACACCTTTGTACAAATTTTTATTAATATGCGATTCATTCTTCAAAATTTTGTATACTCTGGTCAATGTGTAAACGATGTCTGTTTTCTAAACTACCAGGATGCTTTATTGGAGAAATATAATACTCAGGGTATATTCAGTGAACTAGAACTTCAACAAATCCATCGACCAAAGATATCTATATTGGTAAGAAGACATATACTAAGATGTAGGTAAAACAAAAGAGTACTACTTGTATGCTTTGCTCTGTCATGAACTAATTTTCCTTTTAAGAAGCTTGATATGTCATCATATTTCTACGATCAAGTGATAAAGTTACGGGATTTATATTCATCATGCAACATGATACAATAACTTTTCCTACACACACAACATTTTGTCTCATTTTTTGAAGAAAAAAATAATTAATGCACAGAAAACGAATCTCTATAACATGATATAATCACTTTTCATACAACATAACTTTTATAAAATTCTAAAATTATATATATAAATAATGAGAAATATTTTTTTCATGTTATATGAGAAACCTTATATCATGTTATACACACATCAAAATTCGAGCCAACATTTTTTTTAATTATAGAACCCACCTAATTATGTCTCTACATAAAACAATACTATCTCATGTAACATGAGAAAAACGTCCTTAAATAATTAAGTTTTTGAAAGAGTTGGTTGATCATAATCTTCTAATCTTGTATCATTGTGCTCTTTGAATAGGTTGTCGTTTCTTGGGCTTGTCTCCTTGGCTTCCTTCTTTATAAATTCTTCAAGTGGTCTAAACTCCTCTCCACGTGGCAAGGCATCTTATTTACAGTACTTTTCCTTGCTCTTGTGGCAGTTGTTATGGAAACCCTCATTCATTCATCTCAATCAGAGCGTCCTAAACCCAAGAATTTACCTACACAAGATCCCATGAAGCAGAGTCTTCTTCAGACATGAGCAAAGATTCAGCGCTAACTTAATGTTAATCGCATGTCTCTTATCTCATAGTTGTATATTACACATTATTCCTTCTGTTGTTTTCTGGCTTGAAAATGCAGGCCTTGTAATCACAATTATGTTATATCTGTATCCAAACCCATTCACTTCCTCTAAGCATATAATATTTTTAGTAGGTATAATAAATATACCAGATTAAGTATCAATATATGTTGTAAGTACAGGAAGAGAAATAAGAGTGTGTTTTATGCCTTGCTTATTTTAGGAGTGTTTTTAACAAAATTTAAAATTATTTAGATTTTTTAAAAATATTTTGTTTTTGATAAAAATATTTGACTTTTAATTTCTGCTTTTTTTTATAAACTAAAAACAGGTTTTTGAGACATCCAAATAGACTTTTACTAAAAAATATTTTTTTCACAAGACCAATCCTTGTCGGATGGTTTGACTTTGATTACGAGGTATTTTTATATTTCAAATCGTTTTATTGCAAATAAAATTTACTGACGTGAAGATCAAATTACTAAATGAGTCAAATTTACATTTTTTGAATTTTATAACCAACTCCAACAATACCTCATTAAGCATTTCCTTAACTAATATATAATTCTGGTTAATTCCCTAGTTTCTCCAACCCATAACTTGCATAACGCTAAATTAGGCCAACTATATATTAACATGCAAGAATATTAGCTTTCTTTTCAGCAAACGAGCCAGAATGTACATGATTATTAGTGTAATATATTTAATTTTTTAAATATCAAATTTTATGGTATATATATATATTTTTGACATCCTTAATTTTACAGTTGGAAAAAAGTAACTTTTTAAAATTCTTAAATCAATTATTTTTGAATATATTTTTATATATTAAATTAAAATAATTTTTGCAAATGATATATTTTTTCAATGAACTTTTTTAAGAGTATCATATGTCATTTAAATTTTTTTCTTTTAAATTAAACACTTAAGTTTTTTTTGAATTAATTATATATATTTGTTGAGGGACGGAGAATATTTTTATTAGCACTTTCTTTTACTACTAATTCACTATCTCTTTAATCATTGTTGAATTAGTATTTTTTTCTCTTAAAAATTTCTTGAAAAAAAGAGAAAAAAATAATTTTAATATTATAATTGAGAAAAATATTTCTGCAGTTAATGCACATAAATTATCTGAATTTATTTCCAAAACGATATCGTTTTGAGATTAAAATCTTAAAAAATTATAAATATAAAGATCATTATAATTCTGAAATAAATTAAAATTACAAAAATACATGATTTTCGCCCTAAAACGACGTTATATTGGACTTACTATAGATAACTTATCTGCAGTAATTTCAAAAAAAGCGAACCCATTATAATTATAGGGAAATGATCCGTTTACAAATTTTTTTTTAAATTTTTTACAAATTATACTATGTTCTTCCGGGAAAATACAGTGTAACGAGTGTTCTCTCGGGTGAAGATAGTGTAGTTTGTAAACAAAATTTTTTTTACATCCACAAAAAAACAAATTTTTTTATAAATATAAGGTGTCCCATTATTACATATTATTCGAAGTGTATAATTATAATAGATTGTGATGGAAAAAAGTGGCATGAATATCTGTTGCTAGCACACGTTTATAGACTTATCCAACGAGAGTATAAGATTTGAAATGATCCAATCTATCCGATTCACGTATTTAATTAATTAATACATTTGTGCCTTTTGAAGGCACTTTTGGTTCGAGTACGAGTCAGAAGATGAGTCAGTTTCTTTGGTTTTTTGTTCTGATGAAAAACATAATATAGTAGTCGAAAGAGTACAAGAGTTGATTGTTCCCAGTTCGGCAGTTCGCAGTTACAGTAAAAGAAGAACGCGTTTCGTTTCATTTCATTTTTGCATAATTTCCAACTTCTAAGCACTGAAATGGGATCATTGAAGAAGGACGAAAAGGTTGAACTAGATTTGAAGGTGTCGTCGGATGAGCCTATCTTCTATGTTAACGGTGTTCGTAGAGTGTTGCCTGATGGATTCGCTCATTTCACCCTTCTTGAGTATCTCAGAGGTATCAATCCCTGTTCGATTCCTTTTTCTTTTCTTCTTCTTTCTAGAATTCAAGTTTAATATCTTACTTTACATGCTTAATTATGGCAACTTCTTAAGCTGTTAATTAGGTACAGGATCGTGAACTGAAGAACTGATTTTTTGTTTTTTTTGTTTGGTGTTTGCAAAATCAAAATCACTTCATGATTCAATTATTTTCATATGTGCTCAATTTTGGCTCCTATTTTAAAAAATTTCTTTTCTCCTTGGTGAAGCTAAACTAATTATAGTTTTTTTTCACCTTCTTTGGTGTAAAAAGATATAGGTCTGACAGGGACTAAACTAGGCTGTGGTGAAGGTGGTTGTGGAGCTTGCACGGTTATGGTTTCTTATTATGATACAAGATTGAAGAAATGCTTGTAAGCGTTTCTTTCTTATCCCATACTGATTTAATGCTCCTACATGTGAAACGCTTCCTTCTTGTTTCTTAACATCTAACTTACTATTTTCCTTTGAAAATATTCTCACAGACACTATGCTATCAATGCTTGCTTAGCACCTCTGTATTCTGTAGAAGGGATGCATGTGATTACAGTGGAGGGATTGGGAAGCTGCAAGCGTGGATTGCACCCTCTCCAGGTGATACATGCTCATACTATTTTATTTTATTTTTAATCATGGTTGTCTTCTAGTTGCTTGCTATTGTTTCGAGTGTACTTTTTTTTTTTTTTGGTTCTCGTGTTGTGATACATTTATTTATGGGCTTCGGCTATGAGCTTTGTTTTTGTTTTAAATTTATATTTACCCATCAATACTCTGAACTCACCCTTGTAGTCTCTCCAGGAATCTTTGGCACGAGCTCATGGTTCACAATGTGGATTTTGTACACCCGGTTTTATTATGTCCATGTATGCGTTATTGCGGTCAAGTCAAACACCACCTAGTGAAGAACAAATTGAAGAATGCCTTGCGGGAAATTTATGTCGATGCACTGGTTACAGACCGATACTTGATGCATTCCGTGTCTTTGCCAAAACTAGCAATACCTTATATACTGGCGTTTCTTCATTGAGCCTTCAAGAGGGCAAGTCTATTTGCCCATCGACCGGAAAACCCTGTTCATGTAATTCAAACAATGTAAATGATAAAGATGCAATCAGTGATGATAGATATAGACCTACTTCATATGATGAAATAGATGGGACCAAATATACTGAAAAAGAACTTATTTTTCCTCCTGAACTGTTGTTAAGGATACCAACATATTTGAATTTGACTGGATTTGGTGGGCTAGTGTGGTATCGGCCTTTAACACTTCAACATGTATTGGATTTAAGAGCCAAATATCCTGATGCAAAGTTGATAGTTGGTAATACGGAGGTAGGAATTGAGATGAGACTAAAGAGAATACAATATCGGGTTCTGATTTCTGTTATGCATGTGCCAGAACTAAATGCTTTGGATGCAAAGGATGATGGCTTAGAGATAGGTGCGGCAGTACGACTATCTGATCTCTTGAATTTTTTAAGAAAAGTTCTAACTGAGCGAGCTGCTCATGAAACTTTGTCTTGTAAGGCCTTTATTGAACAACTGAAATGGTTTGCTGGAACACAAATAAGAAATGCTGCATCAGTTGGTGGGAATATATGTACTGCCAGCCCAATATCAGACTTGAATCCCCTATGGATGGCAGCTAGAGCAGAGTTTCGAGTTATTAACTCAAAAGGAAACATCAGGACAGTACGAGCAGAAAATTTCTTCCTGGGTTATCGTAAGGTGGATTTGGCAAGTGGTGAAATCTTGCTGTCGATATTCTTGCCATGGAATAGGACATTTGAGTTTGTGAAAGAATTCAAACAGTCTCATAGAAGGGATGATGATATTGCAATTGTAAATGCAGGTATTCGTGTTCATCTTCAGGAACATAGTGAAAACTGGGTGGTTGCTGATGCATCAATTTTTTATGGTGGTGTGGCTCCATATTCACTTTCTGCAACTAAAACTAAGGAATTTCTCATAGGAAAGATTTGGGACCAAGATCTGTTACAAAATTCATTGAAAGTGCTACAAAAGGATATATCACTCAAAGAAGATGCTCCTGGTGGAATGGTAGAGTTCCGGAAATCTTTGACTCTAAGTTTCTTTTTTAAATTTTTTCTCTGGGTGTCTCATCAAATGGATGGTATCAAAGAGTGTATACCATTATCCCATCTATCTGCTGTGCACTCAGTCCACCGCCCACCAATTACAGGATCTCAGGACTATGAAATTATGAAACATGGTACATCTGTGGGTTCTCCTGAGGTTCATCTATCTTCAAAACTTCAGGTTCGTTGTACTTGTATGGTAAAATCACATCCCAAGTTTATCAATTATGCATTCTTACTATTTGTTGTTAAGTGTTTATAATTATTCAAGCTTGCTTGCATCTTCGTGCTTCCTGCTTCTCTTCCTGTTTAACTTTCAAAGATATTATATTATGAAGGATTAGATCCTTTTACTTATCTCTACATGGAGTGGTTATTAAGACTATGGCAGGAATTTGTTACTATGTGATCCAGTAAAGACGTCACATCACATGTGAAACCTGAGGTGCATCCTGAAGAAACGTGTATAGTCTGTACTGTCCCCACATATCATATACGCAAAATGCAACTTCTATGTTGGTTATATCTACTTTTCTCCACTATTATTCCTTCGTTTTGGCATTTTACTGGTATTGATGATTTCTGGGGCCATTTGACACGGATATAGACTTAGTTTCTTATACAAAAATTATAAGCTTTGATACGAAATTCCTTTTTGTTGCTACATGTTTTCTAAATTGGAAGTATATGAAATCATAAGTATATTTTACTTGTATCTATGCATTACTTGTATCCTCTGTTATCTGCACAATTATAATTTTTTTTAATTTCACATTTTCATATAAGGGTAAAGCTGCATACAAGGATTTTCCTCATCCC